ACTAAGATCTTTGTCCTTTCCTCCTCACTGGATGTTCAAGAATGATCTTAAGAGTTTGCAAGCTCTCTGACCTGCTCCTAAGGAGGGAAAACATCTGTGAATACTGGTGAAATGTTAATTCCTCATTTCCTCTGAATCAATCCTTTCAAAATATAATTTAATTTTCAAGGGAGGCCACTTCGAACCTAGCTAAGTTTACAGCAAGCAAATATTCACACAGAATATCCTGAAGCACTGCCTGCCATAAATACAGTGATCTTAATTAAGAGAGAGATTTGTGTTTTCTCCAGATGGAGGTTATTACAGAGAAAGGAAAAGATCTTGTGCTGGAGACCGAACATCTAGCTATACATATCAACACAGGATCTGATATGTACCAAACAATTTTACATATCTGGATTCATCTTTAGTGTGAAGTTGCCTTTTCTTTGCTACCCTTTTCTACAGTGCAAAAACACTAGTCATTCACTGGGAAAAAAAAAAGCAACTAGCATGGAGAGCTATGACTAAGGTGTAGAGGGATTCAGGCATGTATTTGAATGGAGAACAACACTAATAAAATGAGCAAGGATAAGCGGGAAATCTTTCTTGAACACTTTGGAGAGACTCATCTCACTGTGATCCATGCATCAGGACCAAGTATGTGATTTTTCACACAGGGTTTCTTCCTTTGACCCTTCATTTGGGTCACAATATGTGAATATATGCATCAAGAATTAGTCATGCTCAGAAACACCACTTGCCAGCATCTTTTTCAGAAATGTTAATAAAAAAACAGTGTTGTCTTTTGACAACCTCACAGTGTAAAAATAATGAGAAGAGCCTTGCACATGGGAGGACAGCCTACATTTTCTCTGCGTTTCTCAGCGTCAGTGTTTCTGCCATCAGGTAGGACTTTATGAATGCAAATCACCATCTTCTCTCCTTTCAATGAGCAAATGGCTATTCCAAAGCAAGTAGGATTACTCTAAGTAATGACAATAAGGATCTGGATTACTTCCAAGAGCACCAAATCCAGGTATTTTCTGCTGCTATTGACACCAAGCATCTCCAAATCAGTACTCACAGAAGTTACATGCTACATTTGCAACCCAAATGTGATGTAGCCAGTTTTAAACCACAAAGCCTCTCCTAATTTCTCAAGCAGTTTGAGATGATATTGAGATGAGCTTGATTCTGTGTGAACCTAACTGCTTTTGCAGGGAGGTAAGAAGAGAAGTCTTTATAGCAGTGCAATTGCTCTATGTGCACAGAGAATGAGTGGCTGTGGGGAGCAAAGTCAAACATCTCTGAATATGAAGCAATGTCAAACTCCTAAGATACTGAAACCAAGAGATGATTGAGATATGTTAGGAAGATATGAAAAGCAACATGCTGTGCTTCTTGCTGTGGTCAGAACACTTCAGTGACTGTCACCGGTACATAAAAGGATCTATTTAACACTGTAGTGTCAGGAATCAAGGTTTCACACTGCAAGTAGCAATACAGGATGCACAACAATAAAAATGAGGTCTTCTGACCAGCCTGTGGTCACAGGGTTATGGTGGAGGCCTCTGCAGCCTGCAGACTCTGAAAGCATGTCTGAGCAGTGCCTGACTTGCTGGATGCTGACTTGACTGCACCTAATAACCTTTTCCTCCTCTTTTCATCATGCGTTTCTGTGGAAGTGCCAGTGATGTAACCTAAGGCTTCCCTGAGGAGCCAGGAGGGATGGAAAGGAACAAGCCTTCCTTAGAGATAGCAACACACAGCCTTGGAGAGCTTCAGGATGGAGGCTGGAAAGTTTGCACGTTCCCTGGCAAGTGTTTCTCAGAATGTGAAGTCAAGAACTAGGCAGGATTTTCAGAGCTTTCTGTGCCGTGGTGAAATGCAGCTACTAAGGACTCCATACAACTGGGGATCGCTGAGGAGCCATCAAAGGCCTTACACCAGCTTTACTATTGATTCAACCACCCAAAGAAATTCCCAGCTTACTTTTAAAGTCCTTAAAGTTATTAAGGCTTTCAAGGATACAATCTGCTCTGAACAGGGACTACAGAAACAACACTGTGGGCTTCTGTGTGGCATATTTCAATGGTTCCATACTTCATGTACTCAGCACATGAATTCTGTTTCATGTATATGTTTCATGTACAACCTATTCTTTAGTGGGATAGACAAAAAATACCAGATTAGATGGTAATAAACAGTCGGGCCAATCCAGGCCCAGACGGAACAGAATCAAGCTCATTCTTTCATAGCTGTATTGACTTTATATGGCTTAATGGCCCCATATAAAGTGGTAAAGCTTATTTGTCACTAAACTGATTTGACTGAATATATACAAGAAACAGATCAGCTAAGTAGGAAGGTGTCATTTCTATAAGCAGTTTTTCAGATTATAGCTACATTTTACATTTTTTTACAAGGTAAAATTATTCTCTATAAAAAGGTATTAAAGACTCAATGTAAACCAGCTTATTCTTTCTGGCACTAGAAGTGCTTCTCCCACTGAAATGGATAGAAAGGTATATCAAAGTATTCCATCCCAGTGGGGATTTTAACCTTGTTATGAGTCAAAAGGTTTCCTTCTTCCTGTGACTAAATATTATAAGTAGCAGTTTTCTAATGTGCACAGGTAGGATGGAGACAGCAGCTGTTTGGTCTGATATAGCAGCTGTTTGTCATTTGGACGTTGGCAGCTCCAGCAACATACCTTTGCTGTTCAGGAATAACTTGTTTTTCAATGCCAATTGCTGTATGCAAAATCACATTTCAGATGGATGACCACTGCTAGCAGAAGATGAGATAACATTTAGAGGACTAAATAAATTTGCCTTGCTGTTAATTACATTGTTTAATGGTTTGTAGTGAGTCAAAAGGTACACCTCATTCTCACCAGAGCTTTCATGTGGTTGAGCATGACATAAAGCATCTGATGCGGTGGGTTTTTTTCCTGCTCCTGTGCTACCTCTTTTCCAAAAACAATCTCCAGGGCCCATTCCCAAAATGCAGAACAATGATGAGGTCTCAAAATCACACAGAGTATAGCTTTTTTTACACTATATATACTTACTAAACAAACATAGCATCAACTTTACAGGGGGCATCTGTCCTCAAAGTCACCGAGAGCAGTTTGTTAACAGCAGGCTAAATTCTGGCTTCATTGCCCTCTACTCCCTGTCTGAATTGTAGGTGAGCTCCCCTGCATGCAAAAACATTGCTCCTCATTCACATAGGATGGCGAAACTTGGCATGGCGGCTGTCACCACTGCTTCTGGTGTGTGATAAAGATGATGATTCAAAGTAAGCAGCCCCCTTAAATCACACAACCTTTCCCTTCTCTCCTCTGAATTTATCCACCGTGCTCTGTCTGCAAGGTAGCTGCCATAAAACACCCTCCTTGCTGGCCTCCACTGTCCTCTGGCCCTTGTGGGACTGATGCGGATGCTGTGATGGCTGAAGGGCCTGGATGAGCTGGGTAAAGGAAAATGCACCACTGGGAAGGCAGAGTGCTGGCTGGTATCTGGGCAGGCAGCTTAACTTGCAGATAGAATCAGCAGCTCAGGATTTTGGTGTGATGTGAATGCCAGATCCACGCAAGAAACTGAGGCTTAAGGGAGAAGAGGGATTTGCTCTCTGATGTCTTTAAGAAGAAGCTGGAGGTCTGCATATCACCTAAATGAGTCTTCATGAAGAGACTGGGAATGACAAACCCAGAAAACTCAAGAAATCAAATGAGTCCCACTCAGAGAAAAAGGAACTCCCTGTTCAAAGCTGACATTTAAGGGAAACAGATGGTTTAAGTTATAGGAAATGGGTCCAATTCTGCTCTCAGTCACACATGTACAAGCCGAGTATTATCTGCACTGTAAACCCAGAACAACTCTCCTGTGCAATGGGATGACGCAGAAGTCACAGGTCCCACTGGAAAGCAGTCACCACTCGCTGACCGCTCCTCAGCAGTTACCCTCTCACAGAGATACCTAAACTCTAGATACCTGAGATAGAACCAAACCTAGATACCTGAATAGAAATCTAAATAGAACAGAGGACTCTTGTACAGAACCTCTCTGCACAAGCTAGAAGAAAGATCACAAAACTGCCTCTTTGGAGTATCTAGGTATCTCCACTGCTATATTTCGAGGAGTCAGTATGGGTACAGGGACTGAAGGAAAGAAAGCAATACACTGTGAGCACAGAGAAGAGGGAAGGGACAAGTTAGCCAAAACCTACGTAGTCCCAAGAAAGGTGAGATGCAATTTTTGCAGGAAACTTTTATTTATTTATTTTATTTTTATTATTCCTAGCAAAAATCTGAAAGCTCAGTAAGTACACAGCTCCTCCTGCTAGGGACTTGCTATTCTTTCCCAAGACCAGACTGCAACTAGGACAATTTACACTAGCTAAGTGTCTGGCAGATAGTATGCAGTGAGTTGTAGGGAAGATTTGGAGGGGTCTTACCCCAAAGATACATGGGGAAGAAGGGAATGGGTGCAAAAGGGTATTCAATAGCATAGCAATCCTATCTCAATAAATAGCAGGAGACAAAGGGAGAGAGCAGCTAGCAGGGCAGCATTCAGTTTCACTGTGGAAAAGGGACTGAAGAATCATGAATTAAGGGCAGCAAGTAAACAAAAGAAAAAATCAAACCAACAAAAAAGAAAAAAACAAACAAACAAAAAAAGAAAACAGAAAAGAAAAAGAAAATCACTGGCCTGGGTTACAGTGAGGGAAGAAATCACAAGTGCACACCACACCCCAGTGCTGTGAAGGGGAAAGCAGTGGCAGAGTCTGTGCATCTAGGCATGGATAGGGAGGGATGGAGTAAGGGGGATGTGTCTGTGTCCGCCAGGGAAGTGAAAGACCCAGTGGGCTGTTACAGGGTGGGCAGTCTTGTAAAGAGTGTGGGAAGGCAGGGATAGGGAAGGAAACCCGGTGGAAGGGACTGGACGGCGCGTAACAGAGTGCTCAGCAGGGGCTGGGGTAAGAGAAAAGGCAGAAGGGAAGGAAGATCTTACCACATTTGGAAAGTCTGCCAGTCATCAACTCCATACAGTTAGTGGTGTCTGGATCATAGAACGGAAAGAGGAGGGAGGGAGGGAAAAACATAAAAAAAGGTTTCCATACCTCTGTGCATAAAGTAGTAACTTAGCACATTATTACCTGAAGCAGGAAACATACACACATCTTGGGCTTCACACACCCCAGGCCAAATTCTGCCACCCATTTATGCCAGTGCAACCCTGGACATGCAACTTGAGAGTGGAATTTACCTCAGTCCCACTGTTCCCACCCACCACTTTATCAGCTATAGGGATCCATAAGGTGTAGGAAAATGCTCGCTACTACATTAGCAAACTAAAAGCCTTGAAACACATTGTTTCACCTGGTTAGGCTTGTAAGTTATCCTCCAAAACCCAGAAGATGTCCAGCTAGCTGATCTACAGACATCAAAAGCTTAGAGACAGGGAGGAGATGGATCTATACTGTGGTGCTACTAGACACGGAATAAAAGATTTACTTAACCAGCTCAGAAACGTCTTTCAGACCCCACAGGAAAAAGTCCAAGTTCATAAATCTAACTCTCATTCACATGTAGCCTCTTACTCTACTTGATTTCAATGGGATTGCTCACAGGCAAGAGAACTACTTCTTGAAAACGTGGCAGAAGCTGGCCCTAAGACAATTCTGCCTGCTTGTGTATAGCTCCCACTGCCATAGCCTCTGTCTGCTTCTTGCCCAGGTGTGTGAGTGGAAGGAGCTCTACATGTAAGATTTAATAGAAAAAGGATGCTGGACATCTCCACGCAGAACCTCCTGGCAAGCAGAATCTGCCATCAGGCACGACTCCCTTGCATTTGGGACCTAAATCTTTGCGCCCATGAGTGCTGTGCAATGGGGGAGCACCCACAGGCTGCTGAGCAAGTGGATAATAGTTAATGCACTTAGTTCAGTCCCAAAGAGTTCTTGGGAATAAACACATACATGCCAAAATTACTATTTGCTAGGAAGCTCTAGCTATTCTTCTATCTGCTGAAAAGTCATCAGAAGAGAGGTTAGAATCACTTCTCAGCATTCCTCTCCTTCAATATTGAGAAAAGTAACTTCAGAAGAAAAAAACAGCTAGCGGAGGCTATGTCTGGGTAAGCTATTTCTGCCAGCATTAATCCATGCTAAGGGAGTGTGGATATATTTTCTGATGTAGCCAGGCCAATTGTGCAGAGACTATGTGGGAGTGCATGGAGTAGAGAGCAGAATGCTTGGTCCAGTGACACTGGCCAGAGCATCTGAGGAGAACCTCTGTGGTCTCCCTCTCCCAGGTCAGAGACAGGCTGGCAAAGGCGAAATGGCCACGATACTCATGGAAGGTCTCTCAGAAAGGCATGAGACTTAAAGAAGGAGAGAGGGTAAAAGGAAGGAGGTTAGGGAGAGGGGAAGGTTCAAGATTTGGAACAAGGTGTCAGAGGTGTCAAAGAGGCCAAGAGTTTATTTATCTTTGAAATTCTTTGGCTATTCTGAGTGAAGACAAATTGAGCTCCTAAAATACTTTCTCCTGAATATACCAAACAGGCTTAAGAATTGCTTATAGCTGCTGAATTGTGCCAATGATCAGAAGTTACAGTCATAAATTTATATTGTTTTTTCCTTTGATAACCTGGAGAACTTTTAGTAGTTCCTGTCCGGCCCATCTGGGTCAACTACATTATAATGCAATGTAACATAGCTCTATATTGAAAGACTCCAGACAATCATTAGCATTATGTTTTGAGAAAGTGCATAAAACCCCCCAAAAGTCAGGAAAGTCTCAAATACAACTGTATGATTCCTTCCAATTCCCAACTTAAATCTCTTGAAATCTTTCCCTCAAGTGTATGAAAACTGACTAGCCACTCAGTCACTAGTAATCTGGAAACAAACAAACAAAGGGGCATTTGGATAATATCAGAATAGGTAAATATTGTGGTGGTTTTACTAAAATTCTCCTAAAATGGCTATTTCTACATATTTGCATTTTTTTTTTAGTTAACAAAACAAGCAATACTTGACTAAGTTACTTAAGTTAATACTTCAGATGAATACTGTTTTTTTCTACATCATCTGCAGTCAGCACAGCCCTTTTTAGTATTTCATGTAAAGTTAATTGTATAACAGATCTAAATATATTAATCATGTGTGATTAGAATAAAACTGACAGACTTACAAAGGAAAAAAGGAGCGTAACACAGGCTTTTGGATAACTTAATATCTTGGGTCTTGTAATCCATTTTGTTCCTGAACTACTACTTTTAGGTTATAGAATTATTTTTGATGGATAGGGAAAAACATTAAAACTCTTTTAGAACTTAAGACCATGAAAAAATATCAAAGTAAGGCTTAATAAAACCCGTATTTTTTCTTCCTTAAAACTGTTATGGAAAACTGTAATTTGTATTCTTTATATAGCATGGTCAGTCCTGGGAATTGCACAAGAATCTACCGTCATTTCCTTTGTCTTTCCTGTATGTGATCAGGTGTTTTCTTCCCACTCCTAAAGAATAGGAAAAATGAGCACACCAGAAACCGTAGCTCATCTGACAGCTGCTGAAAGACTAATAGAGTTCATATGCCTTCATCCTCTCGTGTAACATGTACATTAACACCTCATTTATTTCCATCATATTGTAACTTCTGCTCTAATAAATATTCTACACGATAAAATATTTTATAATTTTAAAGTAGAATTTTCATCCTTATTAGAAAGCCTCTTAGATTCTTGGCAGCCCGCTGCTGCTCATGGATAATAATCCATAACCCAGTGCCTGTAGGATCCAGATGTTATGAGTCAGACAATGGTCTACAGGCCTTTACCTATCTGAGAAGTGTTGATGTGTCACGTCACTGCATTTTTCATGTGTTTTTTTTATTTTTTTTAATTAAAACACAGTGGTAGCGCCAGCTCTCCATCCTTCTGATGATAAATTAATTCTTTATTTCATAAGCACTGCTGGCACTCATTTACACTTTGGTTTTGACAAAGACTCTCTTATAAATGACATGCAGTTCAGTTCATTAACAGATGGCAAAATGCTTTGCTTAAAACAAGACCTTCCTGATCTGAGCATGAGAAGGCCAAGCATTCTCTGAATCCAGATAAAAAATAAAAACTGCTAAAATTCCGCTATCTCCTCCCTATTTTCTTTACTTCTAACTTCTGAGTTTGTGTGCTTATCCTAAATTTTACTGGTTTGGGATGCTCGTGATGTCTATGAGACTACGACTTGTCCTAGCCCAGGAAATCTCATACAAGCAACTGCTCCTCAGAGACCCCTAGAAAGTACTGAGCATCTCCTGCCAGATGCTCAGAGCCTCCAGAAAACATTCCCATCAAAGGAGATGATGTCAAGGGAGACGTCAGTTCCTCTGGTCCAAGGTAGTTATCATTTACCCAGCCCTTAGGTGCTTGTTTGAAATGCACTGTCCTATTAAAAATCTGGAGTGCTTGGATGTTTTTCTTACCGTGCTTTATGTCAAGACTACTTGACAAAAATTGCTCTACCAATCCAACCAGGCTTTGCACCACACCTTTTATAAGTGAGAATCGTTATAGGAAGATGAAGTAATCGCCCCAGACATAAGGGGCAATCACTATAAGAATGTTAAGAGATAAAGCATCTCTACGAGAACGCAGAGAACAATGTAAGCGTGGAACCTGGATGAGTCCCCCACCAGCCTGACTTGCAGTCCAAATCCAAGCTGCCACTTGGATGCCCCTGTATTGGGTCTTCAGCTGGAAGTTTACCTTTCAAATACCTTACTTTGGAATTAACCAACCTATAGCTCTTGTAAGTGATAAAGATCAACACCTAGATTGTACAGATCAATATTACAGCAAAGCTTTCTGAGTCACACATGCATTTTTTTAACCATACGTACAGCACTACAGTAAGAGAGCTAAGGAGCATATACTGAAGATGCAACGAGAAAGAATTTGTACTGCCTCTTTTGAAGGTAGATATGATCTCTAAGCATTTGCTTATGCTGATGAAAAACAGTTCCAAGCTGCAACACTGAGAAGTTCTGAACTTTGAGGTGCCAATGGTTAAAATTTGACACAGAGCAGAAAAATAAACAATAAAGGAGCAGAAAATCTATTATAGGGAAGTAAAAAAAATTAGGCTATTTCGTCCAGAACATGGGAAAATGGGGATATGAAGCATCCCACTCTCAAGACCGAAGCATAAATGCAAGAAGATATCAGGAGGATAAAGTTGAAACTCTGAGAACAACCACCGCTTTTGCATGCCCCCATTCACCCGCTCTTTCTATTACTCCTTTGTGTGAGGGCACTGGAGGCAGATGGAATAATGCTGAATGGAAAGTGAACCGGGCTGAAACAAAGGTAAAGAGCTGATTTTTTTTTTTTCCTTTACAGAGATCCTTTTATCGCATCAAAGGGCAATTCTGCCCAGAGACAACCTAAGTACATATTCTGCATATGAGACTCCTGGATGGAGCAATACATGGACAAGAGACAAAGCCAAGTGCTTCCATAGGCAGGGTTCTTCCCTGCTGATCCAAGAAGGACTGTCCTTTCACAGCCTCACTGAGCATAATGCACACTCTCTATCAAGAACATACGGATAGCTCTTCTGGTTCAGATCCATGGTCCAAACCATGACATTTTAGTAGTCATATATGGACACCCAGGAGAGTAACAGCAGGCCAAACATATACACTGCTTTCCGCTAATACTGGCCTTTTTTAGGTCAGAGATTTGATAAGCCTGCTATGGTTTCTGTGTTAAGCAATCCACAAAGATTTCTCTCGCAGGGAGTTGTCCAGCCTCCCTCTGAATATGGAAGTGCTCATAGGGGTACAAGTCTACAGAAGCCTCCTGCATTCAGAGCTTGCTTCAGCAAGAAGTTCCACGCCAGGAAACGGCTCCCAATGCTTGTTTGGCACTTGGCTTCCAAGAGTTTCAGGTAACGGCCTCCTTTTTTAGCAGAAGGAAAAAAGAACAACCAATCCTTATGTACTTGCCCTATGTCAGTCATGAGTCCGTAGACCTAGCATTGCCTCAGCAGTTATACTACAGTAGATTTAACGACTCGAAGCATTAAGGGAGAGGCTGATGTATTATACTGAAAATGGCCAACTTGACAGTGGATTTTAAATGTATTAATTTAGCTTTGCAGATGGATTTCACGTACTTATGCATTTATTCGGGAGAAGGTGGAAAGCTATTTTCCTGCTTCAGAGTATTTGAGAAAGAATAAGCACAGCCAGTCTTAGGAAGGGAATATGGAAGTGAATGGAAGAATATCTATGGGAAAGGGAGATTATAGAGTGCACAAGTGCACCATAAAAATACATCTGTCTAGATCAGGTAAATATGTGTAGACACATTCACATACTCACACACGCACACGCACACACAGATGCATGGACAACACAGCTAGAAACACTGTTGTGAGCTGGAGGAAATGAAACAGAGGAAAGTGCATTCTGAAACCCAGGCAAGCCAGCTTAGCGGGCTGGCATGCTGCACAGCACAGCAAAGAGGGGCAGGAGCGAGGAGGACTGTCAGCGCCTTGTGCTTACGAGGCCTCGCTATTCTGCTTCACACAGTTTACTGAATCTTCCCCTTCTGCAATGTCTCTTCTCTCACAGCTGGTTTCCATCATGCCACCTGTAGTGGCACCCAAACTAAAAGGCAGGGGAGACCCTGCACAGAGGTGCACAATGAGCTAGGGAAATCCCCAGTGCTCTGGCAGGGGTATAAACTGGCCCGAACTGCTGGTCTGAATATCCTCAGAGCCAAGGAGGAGGGCTGCCCAGGGCGGTTGTGGAGTCTCCTCCTCTGGAGATCTTTGGGCCTGCTTGGATGCCACGCTGTGCCGCATGCTGGAGGAGGGGTTGGGACTAGATGATCTCTAGAGGTCCCTTCCAACCTCAACCATTCTGTGACTCTGTGACTTGAAATGAACTGTCATCCCCTTCTGTTGCCTCAGTAGACTTTGCCAACAGAGCAGCCTACAATTATGAGCCTGAATAGGAACACAACCACCACAATACATGTGAAGGGTTCAGAGACAGGGGCATGGGAGAAGAGAAAAGGAGGATTTGCCTTGTTTCTACAGACAGAAACTAGAGTAATCCCATGGTAATTTCTAGAAGTCTTTGCATAGACCTGCCCAGCTGCAGCTAGGTAGCTGAGCACAGTGAGCATCAATTCTCTCGCTGTCCCCTTACTCCTCTGTTTCCTCCTACCCTTTCACCATGGCTGGGGTATGTGAACCAAGGGTCCTTCCCACTTTGACATATGAGTTCTCTCTTTATTGGTGAAAATCCACTGTTTTGCCTTCCTTTCTCTCTTTCTCTTGGACTCAATTTCAAACTATATTTTTTGAGTTCCACTACTTCACTTTTTTTCAAGAGACACACATCTCGCTGATTGGGACAGGCGATTACAGGATGCTTTGCTTTCTGGGTGTCTAAGAGCTGTCCTGCCTGAGTAACAACCTGGCCCAGGGAATTCTCATTGTTAAGTTTAAAAAGATCATTCATTTTGGTTTTGCTCCATGTGAAGCTATTCTTCCCTCGCTGACTTTAAAGATCAGGCTGGTTTTCCCTGGTTAGAATGACAAACACTAGTGTACCTTTAGGCAGCAGAAAGATGTTTGGCATCTGTAATATGATTTCTCCCTTCCAGAGACAGAGCAAAACTGTCTGTCGGATACACTTCTCACAGCACAGTTGGCCCAATATCTGAACCTATGAGTCAGATGAACGGCTTTACTCCTGCCATCATGCTTCTGTAGCAAGAGCATAACTATGGTGATGATATGAAGACAGATCACAATTTTATTTATAACATTCTTTTTCCTCAGAAGAGGGTAGGGGCACTTTTTTTTTTTTGCCCTGTGTTAATATGAATTATACCAAAAAGATACTCCACTGGGCCTCAGTACTTCCCAAGAGGAAGGACTGGCAGAAAACTCTGGCTACTTGCTTGAGTTCAATTTAATTTCAAAAGTCCAGGCCTACGCTCATCAGAAACTGGAATTGACCCTAGTTCTAATATTCTCACTTTCCCTATTCCTTAAGAGAGCAACCCATGTGCTGGATACCCTTGCAATCTAGGCAAGTCCAGGAAGGTCAGGTACTGCTGGAGGGCAAAAGCCAAGTGGAAAGTAATCTTTCCTCAGCTGAGTGTAGTTTTCTGTCACATAGTGAGCACACACTATTCTAGATGGAGTTATTTTATCCTCAGCTCCTCACCTGTTAAAGCCACACGTTAGACCAGAAGTTTGTAACTCATGTGCAATCAACCAAGGAGATCCAGCATTTAACTGCAGGATGCCACACTCACTTCCTTCCCATACTTTTTTTCTGTGGCTGTTTCATACAAAGGTCAAGCATAGAATTTGACTCTTACTCTTATGTATATTTAGTTACTACCTTTTCAACATCATACAATGAGAAAATTCTCTGCACTCCTCCTGCCTCTTTATTTTCCTTTTGCAGCCTTCACCCTCTGTCTTGTTCATATTTCTTCCCTGTATTTGTACCTTTGTATTTTCTTGCTTCTCCAGATTCTTTTTCCTTCCTTGAAGCACTCCCAATAGCTAAGCATCCTTATGATTTCATTTCCCAACTTTTCCATTGTTTTATCCTCTTAGGGGACAGAAGAAATAATACTGCTTTTTTTTTGTTTGTTTGATTTTTTTTTTAGTGCCATCACTAGTTTTCAGAGTTTCTGTGTTACCATCTCAGGCTGCCTGCAGATTCAGATTGATGCCATTGCACAAGGCCACACTTATCTTTCTTTACAACCATGAGGAATAGCAATTTACATTAAAAATAGATAAAGTATAGCTTCTGTAGTACCTTAGTATATGATTTGTGCTACCACAGTACGGGCCAAGAATTGGGCCTCAATACTGGAAACTATTAGTCACCTTCTGATCATGTGAAAATGCTGCTGTTAATGGCTAATTAAAAGTAGCTCTCTCAATTTTGCTCTGGAACTCTCTGAAGTTAGGGGTTTCAACAGCTCACCTGAAAGGTTTTAAAATTAGATGCCTCCTAGATGTGTCCCTGTTCTGGGAGATTTTGGAGCCAAAGGAAATCTGGAGGAACTACTGATGATGCAGCCTTTGATGGAGAAGTGGGCAAATGGCTCTTTGGGCGGGAGGAGGGGAGAAGTTGTTTGCTTGGGGAATGCATTGGGAGCACTGGAGTGGGGATGAGAGAGGGAGGAGCGGGGTGGGTGCGGGGAGTTACTGTTCTGTCTGAATGGAGCCAGTTCCTTGCGGTAATCAGAGGGATGACCTCCCTCAGCCTCCAGGTACGGAGAGGCATTTCACCTTCCTGTCCCTGCTGAAGCAAGGTGCTCAACAGTAGAAACTACTTACCTGATAACTGCTGCACTGAAGGTTGGTCATGTGTGCTTAACAACTGTGCCTGAATGGTTTCTACTACCCTCTTAAAACGACGGCTTGGACCTGTGAGGAGAGAAGAGGCACAGACGGCTGTGAGAGGAGCGGGAGCTGAATCCCCACACAACACGGGCCAGAAGGGACTTATCAATCTTCTCCCCATTTCTGCATTGACAGCAGGCCTGTGCTTCAGCTAAAGGGCACAGCTATGAGGAACTACTTATTCAGTTCCCAAGTTATTAGGGACTGTGGCGTGCTGGACTGAACAGGAGGAAAGATGGCTTCCTGGCTATTTTTATAAAGATGATAAGGCTTTTAACTCTTTTTTTTTTTTTCCTTTCAACATTCCCCGTCCCCTCCAAACCCTCTCCAAGCCCACCCAAGAGTGAGGCCACTTCCTACTAAATAGTGGCAATAACAATCTTATTCATCAATGGTTCTAGTAGGGCCAGCGGTGCCATCTTGCCCCAGTCAGGCCTGTCTCGGTGAGCAGCGCTCCACCAGTCTAAACCAACCTGCACAATATCCCCACAGCCTTCGTGTCACTGCTCTTCTCCCTTAAATGTGACAGGCAGCCTGAGGGCCAAACAGCATGTGACAGGAAAGCAAAATCAACTGTCCGGTCTGAGAGACAGAGGAGATTGTTGCATTCCTGTGCCAACAGTCTGGTCGAGGGCCTGATGATCCTCAATTTTGTCTTGCTGGGAAGGAATTACTCACTGCCTTCCATGACTGGTGGGTTGTGAGGGGGAGGAAAAGAGCAGAAGTGAGGCAATGGAATGAAAGCCAGGTTGGTTGGAAGGAGTAAGGCATATGGACAACTTCTGTGCTTTCCACTGATTTCATCGTCCACCCAAACCCCAGTGTGTGATATGGACAGCCATGAAAAAAGAGCGTGGCAAGTTTCTTTATGAAAGGAGAAACCAGTGGCCTCCCTTGGGCTGAAACAAGGAGGCAGGACAGGAAGGGTATTTCAAATCTGATGCACAGAGCAGAATTTTAACACTATTCATGGCAGGGAATCTCCTGCTTGGGAATCTTCTTGCTCCCCATGTCCTTCTCTTTCCAACTGTCTGAATCTTCCTCTAAGGTCAAAACAGGTTTCTTCCCCTGGGTGAGTTCTCTTTGCTGGCCTCTGTACCAGCAAGGACAAAGGCAGCTTGCACCCCCATTACGGCTCTGCTGCAGTTACCTGATAAGAGTGTGAACGTGACAGAATAGATCCCATTCTCCTTCTGCGCCTCTCCCCCTTCTGTGTACGTTATGTCCACCTGGAACTTCACTGGCTTCTGGAAGACAGCGGGGCCTCCTGTGGACTTATACTCTGCACGGAAGCTTGTCTGTGAGATGACGCTGTGACTGAGGCTTGGAATCTGAAATAGGTGGGGAAAAGGAGACAATAGGACCAACATATGAAGGCAGCAAAACCACGGCATTCAATTTAAAACGATTAGTAACGCATTTCCAGAGCAGGTAAGACCTGCTGCTTCTGGGCTTGAACTTGTAAAGTGCAGAGTATTCTTGTGAAATCAGTAACCCTGGAGGCTGCATGGCACCACCCCAGCATGCCCACTTCCTACATGACTGAACTAAATTTGAAGGTGGAATACTGGAATATTGATGAAGCACCCAGGAGGCACATAAATTCCACCTGATGCGCAACTGCATACTCTCAGGTTTGCTTTTCCTACCCACCTATCAGTTTCAAGAAATGCCTTCTGCTGAGTGAGAGCTGGTATTAAGGCTAAAAATGTCAGTGGTATGTAAGACTACATATAACAAAACCCATTTTCACCATGAGGACAATCAATACGTTGGAACAAGTTGCTCAGAAAGGTTATGCAGTCTCTGTTATGGGGGCTTGCAAGACCTGGGCAAAGCCCAGTTGCCCAGAGCAAACTGAAACTGCCCAGCTGAAACTGCCTGGAGCAGGAGACATCCTGAAATCCCTGAATTGCTTGGTGATTCTGTGATATCACTGAGACACCAGCACAAAGAGTGGATAGTTACACAAGTGTCTGGGATATCCCCAGGGACAACATGTGAGTTATTTACCCAAATCACAATTCTTATCAATATACAAAAGAACTTTGAACAGCTTTCTGGTATCCTCCAATATGTATTAACAACTATTTTTCAAATTAACTGAAAAAAACCCCAACTCCTAAAATCGCTTCACGGTGCTGACTCTTGCTTCACTGATACTTCTGGATGAGTGAAAATGAGGACTTCATCTAGGAAAACACATGGCATTTCTCTCTGTTCACATAGCAGACAGTCCTAGATTGCAAATAAATAGTATCTGCAACAATTGTTACTCCGGACACAATAGGAAATTACTCTTCTATCTGCCACAAAGCACAGAAGATGAGATTTCAAGTAAAAAATGTGGATTTGAGACAGGTTTTTGTGCCTGATAAAAGTGTTGGAGGGCATACCCAGCAAAGGGAGACTCAATCTGATAGCCAGAAGGTGATTAAAAAGGGTGACAAAGTAACAAGTCACTGTCTTGATACTACACTAGCAGTGTGAGCTCTAACTGCACTGGTATTCCAAATACTAGCAAACCTGGAAACCCTGCCAAGAAAGGTGAAATCTTCACTGTAGAGAATATAATCAATATTTAGAGTTCAGGCATGGACCAGTGGAGACCTGAATCAGTATGGCATATAAATTAAATGTTTGAAGGGCAGAGACTCTGACTGGTAGAATACGGCACAAGATGACCTGGAACTTGCCAGTGAACAAAGACATGCTTTGAACTGACTTACCGAGAGGAAAGCGTGGACAATATCAGCCTTAATGGAGCTTAGTGGTTTGTCCTTAATGACCACAAAAATTTGTTCTTCTTTCTCCAGGTTGATGAAGTTACCAAACCAGGATTTTTTGGCAAGCCTGGTACGATGGAAAGAAAGAGAGAGCTTAGAATAGTGAGCATTATTTATTCAATAACTCCACAAGGAAAGCATACACAAAGCTGCATGAGGAAGTATTGATAACACTCCAGATGTGACAGCTACAGTATGTGGCCCACAGGGTCCAAATACATCCTATTCATGTACTGAAAACTGCTGAAATGACGGCCCAGTCAGTGTGATTTTGGCAGCATGTGTGACCGACAATGATAACTCTTCTGTTATCAGACTGAGCCAATATACCGATTAATATTACATATACGAAGCGCATGTAGAACTGAGGACACGTTTATGAGACCTCTCCATTTCTCATGACATCACGTAGGTGCTGATAACACAAGGAGGTAAGTTCCTGCCTGCCTGATTTCAACCCCTTTGTTATTCTAGGGCTATGAAAGTCCTTTTTCCAAAGGTGTCTTCTTGGGTTGACAGTACAATCACACCATTCTTCGTCTTTTAAGCAAGTTGTGGGTTTCACTGGACTTCTGTTCTGTCAACGAGTGAAATCTACTCCTACGCAGAAGGCCCAGAAAAAATTCTGCATTGTATTAGTCCCATTCAAGGTGTCTAAATAATGCATGAACTCTGGCTTTTCTATACAGAAACGAATTTCCAGTGCTAAGATAGAAGATATCAACACAAAACACACTTTAAGCCTTCCAATGACAGCAATCCAACCCCGCATTTGCTTTCAGCATCATACGGTGGTTTCACCATAAAATGAAATTGCTTCATTTTTTTTTCCACTGATAGCATCAGCAAATGTTTGTTTCTGCTTATTGTTCCACCACCTCCACTTTGCTGGGATTCACTTTTAAGTTAAAAAGGCTAAAGGGAAAAAACAATGACAGATGTATGTTATTGAGGGAAACTACTGCAAACTCAAAAACTGAGTACCTCAGGTACGCTTTTGAGAGAAGAGAAGATGCTGTCAGCTACAAGATGCAGCCACAGAACTGCTGGACCAAGCTAAGCCCAGGTAAAATTCCACCCAAATCAGCCATGTTCTGGCAGAGAGGAATTTAGCATGAAAAAAAAGTCAGAAATGAAAAGACCTTTTTTTTTTTCTCTCTCTGCAGGGTATTTTCTAACCGCATGACAAGTCCGATTTGCATTATGCCAAGCAATAGGCTTTCACTTGTATTGGGCAACATTACCACCCAACAGAAGAAGCCTTCCTACAGTCTGTGTTTCTCCAGAAAAGGAGATCATTTGCAAAAAGGCTTTCCAGCAAAGCAATGAACAGCTGGAGAGAATTATTAGTAGATTCATTTTCCAGGCAAAGAATGAGGAAGTGCAGAGACTAGGAGGGAGAGCAATAAACTGGGAAACTAAGTTGAAGTCTTGGCCTTTGAGATAAAGAACAAAGTTTGATCTTAGAAAAAACATATTAATTTGCACTCATTCCCTATTCCAGAGTGCTCCATGAATCCCAGCACTGTCATCTCATTGCCATTCAGAGCAGACCTGAATCAGAAGACAGCTCAGTTGTGCAAATAATGATTTGTTTCCACCTATTGCAGGCAATCAAAAACAAGAGTGCAAAAAGATTCAATTGCAATTTGGTAAATCACTGCTCCCCACCCAATTAAAGTGGGATGGAAAACCATAACTCTCTAAAATATTCACAGGCAACTGTAACTAAGCCAGTGAGCTAAAGATTAGCATAGGGAGCACTAAAGAGAAAGGGCTTCTCTCTTAAATGGGTCGTTAAGGAGTCAGGGTTAGAGTGTGAAAGGAAATTACACACTAATTAGCTCATGTGTCTCACACGCATCATAACAACTCTGCAAGCCCCTGGGGAGCTGGGGCAATAGCTCCCTGCATGTAAAGGGCCTATCTATGCTCATTACTAAATTTGCACCTGGCTATCCATCTAAAACCTCTGGCTGCTTAGGCTTGTATCTATCATTATCTGAATAGAGGCTGGCTATAACAGACTCCAGGGGCTCACTGGCTGTCACACATTCTCCTTGAAAGTTGGGCTTGGCAAAGTGCAAATATTTAATTGCAGGTCCACCATCTTAACATGCTGTTTTTCATTTTTGCATCTTGATTACTGATGCTGCGGGCTCCTTGTTTATAGGTCTCTTAATTAGCACAGGTTAAGAGGTCCCCCAAAACAGAGACATTTTCTCCTATTCAACTTGCAAACCTGCCCTAGAATCTCTGGAGTGCAGTTGGGAGGGAGGGAGGACGTGTCTGTGGGTGAAGGGGAACACAAACTACTCCAGGGCATCCAATCAGGTGTCCAATTCACCAGTAAAATGAATATGAAGATGGAGGCTGAATGAAGATGGATGGAATGAATTTCTAACTGCTATAATACTACTTATATATACTGCTGTTCCACCTCCTACTTTTGGAGGGTCTGTCTTCAGAGCCTTTGGAAAGCCTCATTCTTGCCACTGAGCTCATGGACCTGCAACTTCCTGAAGTTTTTCTGCTTGGTTTTATGCTATCAATTACTACTAAATAATAGATTTTCTACTCAAGCAAATAGAGCTTCGCTGGTTTAAAGCAGCTAAAGATATATCTCTTTAAATGTCATCCCTAACATATTCACTGGGACTTGTCAAAAGAGAAAAAATAGCATCACCCAGATGTGTCGAAGCGTATTACCCAATCATCAAGATTGTTCAATGAATGGCAGTCATTAAAAATGCTGTAACAGAACAAGAATGTGTATTTTTATCACTCAGCCCATGAGGTCAATAGAGCTCTTGATAAGGATATCTTCTTTCTTACAGAAAGAAAGAAAATCTCCCTCCCAAACAAGATCCATGGATGTGGGCACTGAGCAACAAGACGTCTATCGTTAAAATAAAATCCAGTTCATTATTTTTTATGACTTTTATTATGTTTACTGCAGGGTGCAGCCCAATTGAACTCATTAATTTGGCAATTATACATAAAATGAAAAAAGGGCCTTAGGCATTGACTTGCATCCAAACTGCCTCAAATGACAGGCGCTACCTTTCTATACCAGCTTTTAAAGGGTGAGTGGGAAGTGGTGATGGCAATAAACTCACACATGAACTTCCACTGACATAGAGGCATAAAGAGAAGAGAAAAATGAAATTTTATTCAGATACTTTTCTGCTTTAGCAACCTTTGAAACATTTGAGATAAGAGTATCACATAATTCTTTAGTAAGGATCTGTTCATTTTATGAAATTCTCTCATGCCTCTCTGTTAGTAGGTGCTCCAAAGCACCGAAAAGACAATTTGTTCCTTTTTTCTTACTAGATTTCTTTTATTATGCTTAACTATTCCTTACCTTTTCCCTCTCTCCAAGTCTTTACCCTTCTTCCATCTGTAGCATTAGAAATAGATTGCCCATTTACACCAGATATATGATATGTCCGGGGAGAAATATTAAGGCAATGCCATTATCACCAATTAGAAATCTTGGGTTCAAATTTTCACCGACAACTCATGAATATTTCACACAAACATCTTGACAAAAGGCCAAATTGCCTTGGTTGGCAAGGAAGGTCTATGGGCATTGGGTGCACAAACACAAGCTGTGAAAATAAAAAGGTATAATTTGGCGTCTGTTGCATAAATTAGGAAGTGCTTGGAGCAGTGCTCTCCGGCAGAGGCTTCCAAACCTGCCATGCAGTGACGCACATTTGTGCAGTCAAATGGTTTAAGTGTGCATGGATTTTTAGGAGTGGGTCTGGTGAAGATGAAATAGCTTCTGCATCTTCCAGTGTTGCCATCCAGAATTAATACTGGGTTTATTATCCCAGCTAAAGACTCCTCTGAATCACCTTAGCGGAAGCTTCTACATATTATCCTGTAGATGTAGTGTCCTATTCTAAGAGAAGGCTTTTTTTTTTACTGCATGGCCAGTGCCCATACGAGTCATTGATTCACCCTGGCTGCTCCTCAGCTGCAGCGTGCTCCTCAGGTACGATCCGCTAGAGAATCAAATGAAAGAAGAGAGCAGGAAGATGCCTCACAACAATTAAGCTCACCAAGCCATAAGAAAATGAAGTGGTTACTTGGAGATCATTTCATCACCTGCTGACCCTCCGCTGCGATCACCGAGATGCAGATTTTATCAGAGCCCTTAGCAGAATAACAATTTCATAACTCTGTCCCGTTCTGTTTATAGTCAAATAGTGAAATGGAGTCACCATGACATTCAGATGGGAAAATGATATCGGTATGCAGTGAAAAGTAGGAGTAGCATATTGGCAAATTACTTACTCTGGGGATGATTCTGGGGTTAAATTGGACATCTCCTCTGGTGTAGGTACTGCACATGCATGAGCAGCCAAAGAGAGAGAAGAAAAGAGACAGATGGATCAGCAGACCTTCATCTTTCTGCTTCCATACCAATGAAAGAATTCTAGCACCACATACTCTTGTGTTTGCCTGTTACCTCTTTAGAGTAGCCTGACATTCGAATGCTGGTCATACGCTTCTAGATCGTTGTGTCTAATATAGTGATGCATTTCAAAACTCACCCTACCCTGCCTTAAGTCACTAGAAAATCTTGCATTGTATTCAGTGGGTTCTGGTTCAGATCCAAACACCATGTTAATTTAATTGCCTTGCTATTTTTCATGGGTCAGTTCTTACAGTTATATAATGGGCATCATCCAAAGACTGATGGCAGCCACTGAAAATATATAGGGAATCCCTGTGGACTTTTCTAAGCATGAAGTAAAAGCAGGAGTCTAGGTCACTTGCCTCAGTTTCTTCAAAGTCCAACTGGATGCAGTCCAGTACTTGCTGTAATTCTCAGTAGTTCTCTGGCCACCTCAGAGGCTATGTCCCTTATCATCAGAATTCAAAGCCTAGCTTTTCCATGGCTGTAATTTTTCTTTCCTAAAGGTTTAGTCTAAGGTCTGACCTTGGCTGATGCTATCACTTTCTCATTTTGAACATCAACATTCAGTCATTAGAATGCGGAATTTTGCAGAGCCACAGAGAGGTATCAACCTGCTACTGAACATCTGCCCAAATCAAAACCTCACTGTAAATTTGGATGGTTTGCTCACCTTGCAATTTCCGGCGATGGAACCGAGGAGACCCCAGGAAACTATTCTTGATTGAGTTGAGCCGTGTCCTCCATGGCATTCCTCCAATGCTGGGGCTGGATGGTGGTGTTGGGTTGGGTGTGCCTGCTGGGCTCTCCTTTGGCGTATGGACAGGTGTCCCCTTGGGGGTAGGGAGGGGACTTCCCCTTGGAGAGGGGTGAGGGGTGACCTGTATGATGGGGATAGATTTGGTGCTTGGGTCAGTACTAGAAGGGAGTAATCTAACAGGAGACATAGGGTTGGTCTGCACTTTAGGAACGGCCAGCTGTGGGTTAAAGCCGGCAGCAGGTGAGCGGCCCTGAGCATTCTGCACAGGCGTGTTCTGGGAAGAGGGAGCGCTGGCATTGCTGGCAGGGAGTGGGTTGGATTTAGTAGACTGGAGTGGTTTTTCAGCCAATTTGCTCTTGGATGGCAAAGTCTGCGTCTTTGGGTTGGGCTGAAGTGCTGGCTTTGGTTGGAGTACATGTCCAGGCCTGGAGGCGTTCCTACAAGCATCAGGGTCCAAGGAGACTTGGGGTCGGGGAGAAAAAGGGAGGTCGGAGGTCTGAGGGGGGATGAAGAACTTTCTGATAGGCTACGAGACAGACGCAGAGTGTCCATGCATACCAAAAACAGTGAAATACGCATAGAGCGGTCGAGCAGGGAACGGAAAGTCAGAATAAAATCCATTCGAGGCACAAAGATGCATCATGTCACAAGGAGACACCAGAGATGGAAGTGAAGGGTAGTGGGGGGGAGGGATTTTGCAAAGAAACAAAAACGAACAAACAAACAAAAAACAAAAAAAAGACATGCAGTTAGCTGGGAACACGGCATAATCAACAACAGCAGCAGCGGCAGCAGCAAGAACAACAGTGTCATAACAGGCTTCATCATATTAATCAACCATGTGTCAGCAAAGAAAAACAACAAAAAGTAAAGAAAAACAAAAGTAAAGTAAAAAAACAAAATGAAAGAAAGTAACCAAGAAAAAAAGAAAATAAAAGAAGAGAGAAATGCCATCTCTCTGGGATTGTTCTGATTGCCCTGCAGTGAGAGAAGCACGATGTCGTGGGGAGGTGAGGAAGGGGGAGAAGAACCACTCAAGCCACAGACAAACTGAGATGTGCCAAGAATGGGGTCACCTCTTGCAGCTCCGGGTGCCCATGTGCAAACCCAGCAGAGAGGTGAAACTCCAAACGGGTGTGTGTGATGCATACAGAGTGGTGGGCGATACACACAGGCTACTGCACACACCGCTCAGAACCTCTGTCCCTCCTCTTCACCCCGGCCTCCGGCTAATGCTCATGCGGTCGGTTCCAGCCACCCATGGCAGAAAGGGGAAGAAAGGGAGAGCGATGCCCCATCAGCATCCGCACTCTGTCCCTGGCCCGAAAGCTTAAGCCTGGCATTAGCTTGGAGGCTTCAGAATTTATGACACCAAGAGGAAAACATGAAATCGGGTTGTGTTTCATTTGTAAGCAGCTATAGAGGAAATTTCTGAGGCCTGGCAGATTTATTTATCTGGGAGGGGAAGGTATTTCCCATCAGACTTTATGGTCTGCTCACTACATCCTTCATCCTGTCGAAGGACATTTTGATAATCTGAATTTTGCTGTCCATAAACTTGTAGCAATATTTGCCCAATTCTATGGAGAGTGGGAGAGTCATTGTGCAGTAAGATAGAGTTTAAAAAGACAAAGACAACTAAAGTTCATAATCCACCAAAGAGTTATCAAAATAGGGATTATGATTTTTTTTTCCCCTAGAGAAGAACATTTATATGTTAGAGGCATTTTGGGAAGCCATTCATATGTAGCCAGCAAACAGCAATGGGAGGGTGGGAGACCTTTAAAGGGATATTGGCAAGCCAAAAATCACATTACAAAAATAAGATTGCCCTTACAACATATTGCTGTTAACACTTTAGGTTACAAGCATTGGCAGACTTGCAAAACAAGAAATTCAAGCTCTTTAGCTTTGTTCTATTTGCAGATTCTGACTTTTTATAGATTACTATCTATTATAAATTATTTATCATCATTATTATTATTAGACATTCTGGACACCAAAAAGCTCTTAACAAGCCCTGTCCCAGCATACCATGTAAACATAACCTTGCCTCAAATCTCAGTTTAAGTTTCAAACTAGTGAGTTTAATTTCTGGGTTTGATCAATTAGCCAAATGTTGACGTATTTATAGAATGCACAGGTATATTTAAAATTTAATTCCTAAGACTGTTTGCATCAAGGTTGCCTGGTGACTTTGAAGAGCTTAAGGTCAGCCCACCAAAATTACAATAAAACTATTCTGTGAAAACATTTGCATTATATTTAGAACTCTAAAAGTCTGCCATTTCGGTAGACCTTCATCAGCAATGGCAAAGGACAGGGAAAAGAATGAGGAAAGTAGCTAATTTAATAAAGTCACTATCAACATCAGCCTACTAACCATTTGCAAATGATTCCAATGGAGAAAGGCTAAAGACTGCTGATTGCAAATGTTTCCTTGCAACTTTTTTATCTTATATCTGTGATGGCTTGAGAATCAAATTTGAAAGAAATAAAGTCAAATTCAACTCCCAGTCAAACCACTGTGCATCTGAATGGGGGACCCTTAATTACCACTTTTATAACAATGTAGCAAAGGACAAGGTTAGGCTTTTCTTCCATCTGGGGCAATAGGGATTCACACCATTGTAAGATCATGTGAGATTTGAAAAACTCGTTGTTGATGTTGAATTCAAATTCCCATAGAACTCTAGCTAATAAATGCACATAGTGAAACATATTTGCTTTCAAAAATGTGTTCTCTTTGAATAATCTAAGTTGTTATGAATAATCTAAGGTGTTGTTAGAAGCATAGATATTGTCTTTAAAAAATATAATTTTTATTCCAGCCTTTCCCTTTAAGCCTCCAATTTGACCTGCTTAAAATGGTTATGATCTGCTGAAAATGCCATCTGGATGCTAAATCACTTTGAAGACTATTTAATCAATAGCCTATTAAGTAATAATGTTAAAATACAGCAACTGTGGAACAGATCTTGTCATCCTTATTCTTTGATGTAGTCCTACTGAGATGTCAGAAAATGATCCCAAGACATCAATTAATGAGATCAAGACTAAGTTTTGCAGCACTGGAATGCTTATTTTATGCACAAAACTGTTTCTATGCTCTTTTTCAGTATGTTCTTCACCAGGAAAGGAGTTGAAAGCTTCATTAAACTATAACCTTATATCTTGAAGTGTAACTTTATATGTAAGAATTACGCACAAAGCTAAATAGAAATTACAATTTTAAGTGCTTCAAATGCTGCTAAGAGCATATCCATAGGTCCTGACATAGTGTGAAATGGCACCTTCTCATGGAAGGCCTCAAAAGTAGATGCAAATGCTCCATACACTCTCGCCCAGATAATTAGGTACCACAGATTGCCACAGTCCTACAGACCTGGTGATGAGATCCAGACTTTTGTTAGGACCGAAATCTTGAAGCTGACTTTGACATATGTTACAAATACTCACTCTCATCTCTTAAGAAGTTAGAATGACAGGAAGGCCTCTGTCACTGCACTAACAAACTGAAATAGCTTTGTAATAGATTTTATTACTTAACACCAATGCTTGGATCTTCCATAGTTGACTAAATACTGAATAAATGCCTGCCCCTTACTTAGAGGGCTTAAAGGGTTCTTTCTCATCTTAACTAGTTAAGTTCTTACTTTGCTTTTAAAGTAGTTAGCCCTCAATAAATTAAGATTTATTTTCTTTCTATTTCCAGTCTACACTATTCTGTGGCAAACAGAATCAAATTAATTGCAAATAGCATAGTATGGCACACTGCTGTGGCACAGTTAGATGTAGTTGTGAAATAGCTCCTGAAATACGGGCTGAAGCCACGCTGCATATACCTCAGCTAGATATGGCAGGGTTTAGTCATCGCAGTGTTGTTCTCTGCAGTTGTAAGACTACAGACAGGCAGAGGCTGAGCAAGGTACCACTAGTAGTGCTGAGAACACATATAATGAATTCTCTGCTCAGACTTGTAAATGATGTTTCCCTCACCGCCTATGAACATTTACAAGCTGCCAAGGAAAAACAAAATATCCCAGCTAAGAGCCACAGCTCTGCAGCAACAGATGTTGAAAAGCATCAAGCATGTGTGAGTGCATCGGACCAACAGATCATGAAGCTGCACCACTTACCCTTGGACTGCTCAGAGGACTGGTGGAGAGCCCAGACGAAGCTCCGCTGATTGACCGAGACCTGAATGGACACAGTAAGGAGAGATGGTCCTCAGAAACCTTGCACAAGTAAAAGTGAACACCAGCCACTGCAGGCACAGGCACGAGGTGAGGAGGAGGGAGGCTGTCACTGGAAAAGCACATGACCCTTTCCTCTCATTACCATCACATTTTTCAACTGTCCCACCCTCCAAATAAAACTTGGACAATGCTGTTCACTCAGGGAAGATACTATAATCCCTTTTCATTAAGGGAGCTGCTAGCCCCTTTTGGTCATGAAGCACATGAAAACTACTGCTTCCACTCTATTCAAAAATGATTCTTGTAAGGGAACTGTGTTGGTGCTAAGAATTCACCTTGACACAGATGTAGTGGACACAGAATGGAAAGTGCTCTACTACAAAGTAGCCTGGAAAACCACCACGCATACAAGGCACACAGGCAGGGGATTCTTCCAGATATTAGGCAAAAAGTCAAGTCTCAATGATCCAGAAACACTATTATTTCCTACCAGATGACTTCTCACTGAAATCAAATCTGGCTTTCCAACTTCTCACTGATGGATTTCATATCTCTGCTCTCCAGTAAGGCTTTCACATAGAATCACTGCTTCTTTCTAGGAAGTTTTTCCTGGGCATGAAGGGCTTTCCTACTCAACGTAGAATGAATCTATACAAAAACAATGTTCCTCTTTACTACACTGAACTTCTTTTACCAAATCACCTAGATAGCCTTGGGAGAAGTGATCTTCAGGAGTCAGTGTCACCCCATTGGGATAACAGGCTTTTGTAACATCTGGTCCACCTTCCTGTGAGATTAAATGCTACTATGTTAAACAAGTCTCCTCTACCAAAAACTAACTCTGCCCTTGCTGATGACACTACTGGCATCAGGATAACAATCCCGATGCCTTCAAATAAAGACTGGCTAACAGAATAAACTGTCCTATTTGCCAACAAGGCCACCTATACTGTATTGCGCTTGTGTTTTCCAGCAAAGGCCCTCTACAAAAAAATGTCAGCAGCAGACAAGAAAAACATACAAATGTGCTGTGCTAAATACCCTGAAATAGCAAACAGGCCAAATGCACAAATATTTCAGCAGGAAAACTTTCCACGAGGAGGGCTATCCATTAGAAAAAAAATCCCTCTGTGTGACTCTATGTGAGCAAGTCCCAGAGGCAATTGCTTTTTATCCTTTTTAAATAGGAAAGTTTTCTTGAAGACTTAAAAATTCGATAGGAGAGGATCTGGATAAGAACTGACGTGGTCAACAACCACCAAGCAATATGCCTATTTAGCAAACCTCTCAGTGTTTCACCTACACTTAAGAGCAGTGAAAATAATTGCTTGCCTTCAAGTATCAAACAAGAAAAAAAGCAATCATGTAGATGCTTGTAAAATAGGTTGCATGTGTATATGTGTATACATATGTGTCTGTGTGTATATATATTTTGAACTCATATATATCAGATTATTAATGCCAGTCTTTTATATAAGAGAATGTAATACAACTTTAGACATTAAAATGCCTCATCTTACTGATCTTTTTAATCTGCTAAAGAAGAATAAAGTCCTAAAGTCGTTTTCTATAATAGTCTCCTAGCCATATATTCCTAAATAAATTTGAGTGCTAGCATTGTAAAAAAAAAAAAAAAGGTGAATTGCAGAAGAGGAAATATTTCCGAAGTAAGTTAGAAATGAACCCAATGGCAGCTTCTATCCTATTCGTATCCAGTGCAAAAACTCCTCACTCCTTATCTTTGCATCCCACTGCAGTCTGTTCATCTCAGAACAGCAGATCAAACTCAGAAGCCCAAACTTGACAGTCTTTTTCCCCAGATTAAACCTGTATTTGCACCATCAAAATCTTGGGCACTCATCAAGGCTTATGCAAAATAGTGGAAAGGAGAGTGCTGCCTGCTCCACTTTTTATAGATTATTTTTATGTGTCTCTCCTATAACAGAACTGGTTGAATGTAGAACAGATGTGTTATTGATATGCAAAGTCCATTTGGTTAAAATCTTCCCTGTATCAAGGAAGTTGATCCTAAGAAGATCAAGAAAAGTTTCTCCTAAACTGTAAAAGCCAGAAATTACCTTATACAAGACATGAGAGGCATTTATTTGCCCAGAAACTGAGTTAAATGCCTACTCAGGAGTCTCACTCCCTCCGGGATCACTTGATAGGTGGGAAGGTCCTGTCTGACACTCACCTGAATTCCATGATACTGGATTAAAAGTTCCAATATGCTACTTCCTCTCTCCAACCAGACGTTTCCAACAGGCATCAGTTTTCCCCTCCCAACCTCATTATTTCCTATTTTTTTTTTTACAGAAATGGTCCCACACAAGTAGGGTAACACACAGCAGGCCCCATCTCCCAATTCCTTATTGGAAGCAATATTTGCAAACAGTTGTTGTGTACTGTGTTTTCATCCAGCTTAGGAGCCTGAGTCAGGGGACAGAACAGAGAGTTAGTGTGAAATCCTCCTACAAATGCATTCAGTATCTATGTGACTGCTATTGAACAATCTCTATTTTTGCTTCTGCTTTACATGCAAAATAGGTACAAAGCAAACTAGGTCTTATAGCATATCTTGATTCGTCCACATTGGAAATTGTATAAAGGAGCAATGGAAAAACTTTAGCAGATTCTGGGTTAATTTTAAGTGGAGAGGTGAAAAGAGCGCTGTAATTTTTGAAACTTTTTCCCTCTGCGAGAGATTGTTGGTATAGAATATGGCATCCTCACTGAGGACCTCTTCCTTGCAGCTTCTTCAGTTAATAAATACCCCATGATTTACATTTGCAAATGAGATTCAGGTCCCAAGCTGGCTAGAGAAACTCAGTACAGGGGCAGGTTCTTTTTTTCCACCACAAAAATGCCATCAAGCAAGAATGAGCAATTTGTCCCTCCCATCAGGATCATTTTAACTGGCAAATGCTGAAACTCAGTTTTGTTATTTAAACCGCATGCACTGCTCCTGTATCTCAGGGTCAGGTGAACAGAACATGGACAGAGTCAAGAGAAAGTCATGAAAATGTTGCATTATGTCGAAAAGTTGCGATGAAAAAACAGAGAGAATTGAATTTCTTATAGTATTCTCTCTATAGAGAATGAAGTACAAGACCCTACAGGCAGTACATTAGTATGGCAGACCCTGGGTGACCTTATCACATGTGAAAAAAGAGAAAAGCATGAAAACATCTTTTATCTGTGGCTATGAACTAAGAGTCTCTCCAGGCATTAAAGGTCATTGGAAGTATTAAATCCATAATTCTTCAAATAAACTAATACTACATGCAACAAACTAGGAAAATACATATATCGTGTATGACTCATTTTCCTCTGTGTTTTCCACTGTAGTACGCTTGGGCATAAGCTCAATGCAAGTGATCAAAGAATTTTTTTTTTTTTTAAAGTAAAACAAGTAGAAAACATAGTGCATTTGCTCAGATAAAGAGCATCCCCTCAAATACAACTGCCAGATTTAGAGACCCAAGTAGAGGCTCCTGAGACCCACTGAAAGTGACACAGTTGTTTTGCCAAGCCTGAAGGGAGGAATATTTAAAAACAACAAAATAGTCAGTCTCACAGAGAACTTGACCCAGGTTCCAGGAGGGGAAAGCTGTGGATGGTGCCCTGAGCATTCAGCACACTGGATTCATTGCTACTGCTATTCCTCCCATCTCAAAGACTGACAGTAATCATGAGACACCTAAGTTATGGACAGTGAGACCAAGCACCGGAAAAAAAAAAGTCCATGTGTGGGCTATAGCCTGTGTATGTGTTCATTTCATACTTTAGCTTATGTACTGGAAAGCTAAATTAACGGGTCCTTTGGTTTAAAGTAGTTTTTTCCTCATTTAGTCAGCTGCTGTCAACGGGTAATCCATGGAGGGCCAATTCGTGTCAGACCAGTTGATTTGCTAGTAGTGTAAGTGAGGAGCTGGAATCCAGTTTGCAGCTGGTCTGCGAGAAGGGCAGAACTCCTCGCCTGCTATAGGAGCTCAAGGGCTGAAGCCTGACTGCTGAGGTGAAGGCAGGGACCCCCAGGGTGGAAGGAAAGAGCAGCTGCCCTGGCAATCACAATACACATACAGCACATGCATAGTGCACCTCTATATAGCCCTTCATTCAAGTTGATTTTCAAGTGTTTCAAATCGTGCCCATGCTGGCACGTACTAGCGGGATATACAGGCATCATCGCTAGCAATAACCACTGGGACCAGGTTCTGCTTTTGTTTCCTTTTTGAACAACAACCTCATAGAAACTTGCCCTACCGCCAAAGCGGAGGTTGGTGCCTTGTTGTAGACCTGGCAGAGCTTGTTTTCACAGCAGAGTTTGCTGGGATGTTGGATACAGCCTTTGAGCTGGCCAAGCTGGAGCCATGCTTCCCAGAACAGGGGCCTGTAGCGAGCACGCAGCGTGCAGCAATGCAGCAGACTGGTGTCCCTGAGTGATGACTGCCTAGATGTTTTGAATTGGTTCGGATGCTTTGGATAGTTTTGAACATCATAGCCAAAATATGAACCTAACTTACTGTTTGCTTAGGGCACAAACTGGGTAGAATATAACACTCCTCTACCTGCTCATTCAGATAAAAATCAAGAGCTCTAAACTGTAGTATAGAGCTTGGGAGCCGGCATTCATATCTAATGCCAAGCACTCAGGCATCATCTATGACAACAACGTTTCCTCTTTTTTGCTCTTGGGTGTCAAAGATACAAACTGGGTTTCATTGCTCCCTAAACTTGACCTAGGCAATATGAATAAATACCTTTGATGCTACCCTGTCTCATAGTCCTAGTCTAGCAAATCATCCTAACTGTAAAAGCTTCTACTGGCAACAATTACACTTCAGCCAGCAGGCTTTACCTACAAATGCTAATAAGCATTTGGAGAATAAAGCCTTGACAAAGAGTCCAGCGGAAGGGCTGCAGGTGTGAGCAGCACCTCTTCTGCCGTTTAGCACCATCATCCTTACTTCGCCAGTTTTAACTGAGTTCCATTCATGAATGTTTTATAAAAAATAGTAAACAGCACATGGTATAACCATGCTACATGCATGAGTAGTCAACGTTTCTGGTGATAATCACCCTTCTCAGGACATGCCCTTCATAAACTTGTACTGTAGGTTGTAGCGATCTACTCCAATGTTTTTATAATACAATTTGTTATTAATATATTCTCCTTCTGTTCAGTATTTACAAATGGAACCTCAATTCAAAGTGTGACTGCATTCCTTGTGGTACCTATGTTTTTATTGAAAATAAGGAGCTCTGAAGATAAATGTGTCTCTAGGGTATCTGTTCAGCCCTTCAGAAAACATATACTAAAAAAAGAAATACCCTGCATTTTCTTAACTAACATGTATGGTGTTCAGCTTTATCTTAAAAAAAAAGCAAAAAAAATGAAAAAGGAATAAAAGAAGATAAATTAGGATCAAAATCAACTACTAGGTACCAAATGATGCATAAAGCGATACACTGAGAAGCGGCTTCATTCTCAGAAGGTGCCCAGGTATCTGCACAGTGTTTGAGATCAGGTCTGTGTGCCCACTGACATTGAAACACACAAAGAAGAGAACCCAAAAGAATCCAAAAGGAAATTTATGTTTGACTCCAACAGAAAAGCATATAAACAAGCACAAAAGCTCTCAAATGCTTCCTCCAACATCTCCCTCTCTCTCTCTCTCTCTCTCTGCTGTAAAACCTCATTCACTGATGTATAGCAACCTATACTGTATTTGTAAAGTGCAAATTAACAGTTTCTCTACAAGATATAACAGGTTCCACAACAGGAATAATCCAAAACTAGAGCTTACCCCAATGGATCAGCACTCGCCATCCTCGGAAAGGGAAAATTGAAAAGAGAGGGAGAAAAAGAGAGGAAGAGAAAGAGAGAGGGAGATGTGGAGGCAGGTGGAGAGAAGAGTAGGAAAAGCAGAGTGAAATACTGTTCGGAGAACTGAATGCTCGTAATTATTGCCCCAGGTGCCTACCTCTTCAGAGACCAGCAGCACTAGGGGGACAGTTTCATTTACTAGACAGTAACTTTTGTCCTGCTCACAGTATTGCAGACACATCCACCTTGTGAAGTGGGGAACATGGAGAGGGACATGCTAAGCTGTAATAATATTCCCAGCCAAACTCCAATCAAAGTAGTTAGCAAAACAACGGGGTTCGTACTTCATGCTGCATTTCTTTTCTACCTCTTACATGAGGCACAGTTATATCAGACTGTGGTAAAGGAAATTGTTCTATTTGTCCCCATTATGCTCAAGGTAGTGTCCCTCTGTCCCCCAAGCTGGCCTGGTAAGAAGTACTTTTTTTTTTTTTTGCCATGAATGAGCCGTGAAACATATTGGTTATTAAAGCATGCATTTCTGAGCCAGCTTGGGAGCCTAGGGTACAAGATTGTATATCAAGCTGTGAATCTGCTTTGATACTGGCTTATTAGTCATGACGGTCTTATAGTCAGGAATTCAGATCAGCTAGAACATATCAGCTCAGCAACCCGGCACTTATCTCTGCGGATGCCATCTTGTGCTCCAGGATCTCATTTTTCATTTAAAATAAATTCAGTCTCTAGGTCTTAAAGGTTGCAAAGAAATTTTTTCAAATGGGAATGGAGAATAAACCAATGCTGTGCTGAAAAGAGTCTGAAACAGCAGCTCTAAAAGCAGAATGAATGTCTGGCATGTTGGCTTTGATGCCTAGGGGCAATTGAAAACTTCAGGATTCTTAATTTTTCACTATTAACCAAAACACTCAAAACAGAAGAGAACAGTTCGGGTAATAAATTACTTGGGGTATAGGAAAGCAAACTCAGGAAAGTGTCACTCTTTTTTCACCTTCACAAAGATGAGATTAAAAATAAAAAAATCTGGTGTGATATGAAGCCAAATTACTTTTGATGCAGCATTTTTTTTCTGTTTCTCTCTCTCTCATTCTCTCCAGTTTCAGTAACAGGCTCCCAAGCTGCCAGAGTTACCTCTGGCTGAGTGAGGAAAATCCATTCTCCACCAGACGGACACCAACAGAAATGCCAAATTTAATAGATGCCCAGCAGATTTCACAGTTTACTTCTTAATGCAGGTAGCCATGCTTCTGGTTACATGAACATTCGCAATGCTGTGCTGGGCAGTGCAAGGCAGTCTTGAGGAAAGTTCAAATTAAAACGTAGGTAGAATAGAAAGAAAAAGCTGTTGTGCTACACATAGAGAAGTGGAAAAAATCATTATAGTAAATTCTTTTTCATGTGTCTGAGCGACACTCCACTTATATTTTGGTCTGGAGTGCAAATTTGGATAAGATCTAATTAATATATATACGAATATATATATATATATATCTTCACATATATATATACGGGCAAATGCTGTCGTCAATTGTACCAGTACAAATCTATGTCCCGTGATGTAACTGAGAAGAGTAAATTGACACCCATTGTAGATTGGAATGTATGTGCATATTTATGCACAAAATACACCCATATTCACACATACAGAGTATTAAAATGTAAATAGAATGGGTGTGAGAAGGTTGATTCATTTTTCTTTCAAGTCATTTTCCCCACAGGGAAGGCATTGAGGAGGTTAACAAAGGGAATGAAAAGCAAATTGACAGTAGGGGAAAAGGAAAAGGGAAGTGGGGTTTAAAAAAAAATGAACAATCCCAGGACACAATAGACCCAGAAGCGCAGACATGTGCATTCCCTACAATACTGAAGCAAGTGAACTACGGAGCTGCAGCAACCCAGATACAGAAGAAGAGAAGCACTGAAAGAGGGAGTGAAAGAGAAAGTCAGAAAGAAAGAAAAAGAAAAGAAAGGAACAGTGGCCTCAGCTACTAAGACAATCATGTGCATCTAGAGGGAAGGGACCCTTAAAGATGCAGTATTCCTTTAAAAAAGACATCATCAAGTTGGATAATTAAACACTAGCCAAAAATTTAATGGCCACCATGATTAGCTGGCCCCATTTTGCTGGGGTTCTCCTCACCGCCCTTCCTTTCCTTTCATCTGGATGTGAGCAGACCTAGCATCCAGTTCCTCCCATCTTCCCACCACTGAGGTCCTTCACTCTAACTCTCAAAAATGGGAGGGAGGTGAGAAAACAAGGAGCGTGACTTTCCAAAAATGGGCCTGGCCCTTCAGTGATGGAGACCCCTGGTGATCGTTGCACAGTCCGCTGGGTCTTCTACTCTTGTCCCCTGAAAAATATCACCTTGGAGAGGGAAAATGGATGCCCATGTGTATTTAAGGAATTTCCCCGTCTGGTTCCCCAAGGGTCATTTTCTCTGCTCCTAACGTAGCTGAAGCAGCTGCCAGAGAAGTACGGAGGGATAATGAACGGCACTGGGAACATCTGCTGAAAGATCCTTCTCATGTCACAGATGAAATGCAAAGGCACCTCTCTTATTGGAACCGACTTTTAACTACTGAGGAAGAACTAATCTTGGGAGAAGTCTCAGACCAACTTTTAATGCAAGAAGTGCCAAGTGTGCAACAGCAGAACTTACATATTGGAGAAATTAAAGGAACACCAACTTCCATGTCTACGGTAACAGGTCAGGAAAGCTCAGCAACTAAGGACTGTACAATGTGGTGGCAAATCACTACTTCTTCATGGCTGTGAGACTTTCAGAGGTTTCTAACAGTCTGAGTGCAAAGCTTGCTTCTAGTTTGGCCTCGTGAAGAGGACGCCTTATACACCACGTCAGGACTCCCTCTCGTGCACACACACTAGATCTGCTCTTCTTCGTGGCAGGGTAGGACTTTAAAAAGCAACTACAAAGGATAGTCTCAGTCAGCAAGAGTCCAAACTGTTTTTTTTTTCATGAACCCAGAAGAAAATCCCTTAAATTCCCTGAGTTTGATAGTGTGCATGTTTGTCCACTTTGCCTCCACCCACAACTCTTGTTTTACTTCCCCCTTGTCCATAATTTGAGCTGCTGGATTGGAAACACCCTCCAACAACTTTATCTTTTCATTCATCTTGTTTTTTTCATGTGTTCTCTGGTGCAGGCAGGACAGTCTCCAAGAGTTTGTCTCTTACCTACCAGCACTTAGTGTTTTGCCCTGTCTCACAGAATTTCCCAAGTTCCTTCCATTGCTGTTACTGATTCAATTGTTCTACTGTTTTTAGTGGTGGGAGTAGATCACTCTGGGCTTTCCTAGTATTTTATATTCCAATCCTTCCCAAAGCAGTCGTAACAAACACATCTTCTATCTTGGGCATACTACTCATGGCAGAACTGAAACAGAAGTAGCAGTAGTATGAAATTTTAGCAGGGGAAACACTGATACAGTCACAGGCTGCACTGGGGATAGCCTCAAATGAGGCTGCACAAAAATACCTGTAGTGTGGGGGTGTAATATCCCACCCTCTTTGGTTCTTTCTAAAGAGAGACCAGCTCTGTTCCCACATGGAGAAGGTAAGTACTGCATCTTTAAGGTCTCAGCAGTGAGGTAGAGGAGAGGAACATATTGTCAGTGTTTATACCTTTCTTCTTTGTTGAATTTGGGATTGGCTTCAGAGATATCCAGGCTTTTACTGAACATTGTTTTACTATGGCAGGAACAAAGCGAGAAAACAGAGTTACTAGTGTGGACATATATAAAAGAGAGTCACCTGAAGAAATGCTGGACACCCAGTCCCACCCATCCTCCCCTTTTTAAGCAAAGCTCTGAAACACCTTTCTTTTACTCTCTATCTATGGCCCAAGTCGACACAGTGCAGAACTTCATTTCTCCTCCTGGCTTCTGAGGTCTGAGATGCTTGCAACTTCCCTATACATCATTGCGAATCCTGGCTCCCCTTTATCCATCAGAAAACCCAGGGGATCTACTTTGTCACATTGTCCACGGACACAGAACATGCCTGAAGGTAAAAAATGTGAAGTGCTCATTCCTCAGGCTTTTTCAGATTGTATAAACAGTAAGTACAAACAGGGAAAGGGTTCAAATCAGACTGCAGAGCCTTCTAGAGTACAGGTGACCTATTTTATTTTCTAATTTGTAGGATCCATTACCCCTTATTCCCAAGCTCCCTTCCCTACGTTCCATGTATACAGAAATATCCTTCTTTGAGAATCTGGGAACAGAAACCTGAAGCTGAGAAGCAGAACTCCCTGTGCCTTGTTAACAGAGCAGTTCTGCGTCCTCGCTGTCCTACATTTTACTGTTTCAAGGAACACTGCTTCCTCATATTGGCTGATCTTTCCCGCAAACTTCAACAACCAGGAGAAAAGCAGTTACGTAATGAAGCCCATTTTGAACACTTTTTGGACTCCCCCAACAAAACTGCAGAAATATTCTCACATAACCCTGAGAGCTATCAGCTCGCATGGAATTCCTTGTATTCTGTGTGATATTGGCACAGATCAGCTGGTGTTACACCACACTCAGAACCTATCTCTTTTGACATTTCAGTGAAATACCACGCAATCTGAGAGGTGATACCACAAGAGGTGAGAGGTGAGTCTGAGAGGATACCACAAGAGCGGAAGTATCCAAGGTGTAATCATGAACCTCGGTAGTTGATAGTTAGCCAAAAATAGCCACCAACTGTAGGGTGGTTGGTGTTTGTGCACATTAAGTTTGTCATGCACATTCAAGGACCCAACTGAGTACTTTCACAGCTCTGCACAAGCATTTCAAGGCATCTGTAAGCTCAACAGGCTGCCTTTGTATTGAATTCCTCCTTCACCATTAGCTAGAACTAAGCCACTGAAGGACTATGTTTTTCAGCTACTACTTTCTCAGTCTGCATGGCTTAAGACTGCCAAGTTTAAAAACAAGTTTCAAAGATAAACCCTGCCAAGACTGGACCCTTATAGGGTCCCCACATGGTTACCAAAGGCACAGTTCAGCACACAGACATGTAAAACCAGAGGGGCACAACAGGACCAACACACAAGACACACGGGTGTGCTCTGCCCACTGGTTAGATGCCTATCTCTGCTAGCTTAAGAAAGAAGCAATGGCTTTGTGTCCCCTGATGTTTACACAGTCATTTGTGTCTTCCTTGTACTGAAGAATCCCCCGGGGATAAAAGCACTAACTAGTCATCTATCCAGACCAAAAATGTCATTCTCAAAATAAAAAAATTGCATCCACCTCTGGGATCTAAGACCCAATGTTGTAAAATCCACTCTCAGTGGGTCATTTCCTGCAAAATAATATGCAACTAGTCATTAAAAATCCCTTGTTCTTGGTGGAAGGCACTTATCATTTTGTTCCTGACTGTTCTGACAGATGGTGCCCCATCAGCAATGCATCGTCCCCAGACAATCCCCATGCAGTGGTGTTTGTTAATGAACCCAGTTCACGTTATAAACGATTGTGCTGCCAGCAACACAAAATGTGCCGTTGTCATCTGTGGATGTGGAATAGCATGAATAATGGAAGCTCAGACACGGAATAAAATAACATCTTCCCTTTAACCCTTCCAAAACAAGCACTACCAAGCTCATCATCATCAATCATGGCATTTTTACATGCCTTTCTCTGCCCTCAGTCACACCTTGACGTCCTGCCCTGTAAGAGTTGTGTGGCATGTGTTTTCCTGTACCTCTTTTGTGCCTGGCAGGTTTCTTCTCCTCCTTTAACCCAAAGCCCTTCCTCACTGACATGCAGCCTGGGCATGTCTCTCTTCTATCTCCAAATTCACCTCAGACCTTCTGACTTCAAATATTTTCTCATCTGCATACAGAGTGAGACATTTCAAGGCAAAAGATATACTCTGCATAGGGAGATGCAGCCTGGCATCCTCTTCAGTCTTTTGTATCCAAAGTCAAAGCTGAGAGCTAGACAGAAAGGTTTCAACTTTGGAAAACTTTAGGATTGATCTAATGAGTTCTAGACTGGCTGAATCATTACCTCAGCTTGTTCACCTCACCACACGGTATTCGTTCTGCCCAGCTGGTCACTCGCTGCAGCAGCTGCAGAGCTCTGCAGTTCACAAGCAGCCCGGGGCAGAAATAATTCACCTATGGCTGGCTCATCTTGGAGAACAGCATGGCCCATGTGTCTCCCAGGTATTAGGTAAAACATTGCAACGTGATTAAGGAGTGGGCAACTGTTTGTCAGTGTTGTGTGCTCATCCTTATCACTTCAGGGGTCTCTGAGGAACACTGAGAATACACCCTGACCTGAACAACTCCTTAACCTAGACCTCATTAAACATCAAAGAGAAACACATATACAAGACAGGTTTCCAATCCACACTACAATGAGACTTTTTTCCGGCACTGTATCTCAAGGATAACCAGCCACAAATCTCTGAGATAAGTCCTAGCAACTCCTGGGAACTACCACTTTTTCCTCACTATAGATAGAACTGCTACAGTTGCCCAGCAAAAATTTTCAATAGTACTAGGAGCCTCTTGACATGAAATTATATCATGTTCTTCATCAAGTTGTCATTCAGCAAAGGGAGTTTCTGAGCACAGCAAGCTTTTTTTTTGAGCAGATCTTAACAGCTGAAGAGAAAGATTATGTCATAAAGCTGAAACAAAAGCTAAAGCATCAGTAACAAACATATACATGGAGTGTTCTTTTATACAGACTGATTTATGTAAGTGTAAACCTAAAGGTACTAGCTCCCCTGGCTAGCCATAAGGACTGGGGAAGCAACTTCCAGTTCAGTTCACTTATCCTACCAGAACCTGGTTGGAGAAGACATCATTTTCCCCTGCTTCACCATGACTGACACTTTTATCCAATAGAAGAGAGGCAAAATTATACACATCTAACACAAATTCAAATGATTTATGTGGGTCAGATGCACATTGGCTCTGACAGCACATATTAGAGACATCCACAGATACCTGGACAGGGCTTTCCAGATTAATTTTTTTTGAAGAAATGGAAGGTGAGGTTAACTTTTATTTAACTTTTGGTGCCTAAAAGCTAGGCCACCTAACCTAAGATAGTCATCTAGCTTCCTGCTGCAGGCTACAGGGACAGGAAGGAAAAACAGAGGGTAATTTATCCCATCTAAAATTGCTGGAACAGGGGGTGTATGAATCTGAGACCCCTGTCTGTCCCCACTGCCTGGAGTGGCAGCCTGTATAACTGATTTAGACTGTGAGTGTCTAAATCCTGGACAATTAAAATGAAGTGAGATGAACTTTGTCTAGAGGACGCGGTAGCTTCCTGAGTGATGGGTGCAAACAGAGCCCTCAAGTCCCTGGCAGGACATCTGCTCCTGCGTGCGTAAGCACTGTTGGCTGCCAGATCATATGGCAAGTGCACTTGGATGTTGTTATGAATGTTGGTGCAAATAGAAAAGCTCCATACTCTTTTGCATGTATACTATAAATGGAGGGAACACGGGAAACAAAGACAGCCAGGTGGGACTACCAGCTCCTGGGTAAAGAAGAGACCCACCTCTGTCCATGTTGTGCCATTTCAATAGCTCTGCGAGCAGGGACTGGGGAGCCACCATCTGTCACACTGAGAACCTCCATCGACTTCCTCTCTGGTCGCCGCTTCCCATGCCTGTTCAGCATCGGGGAGTCCACACGCTTCCTGGGGGGATCTTTATGAAAAGAAAACATGTCAGCTGAATTCGCCTCTCTCAACAATCTCTCACAGCTCCCCTGCAGAGACAGGTATCTTTGTGATGGACATGAACATTTGTAGTATCACCCTTCTTCTAAATTTGCAAACGTTAAGATGTCCATCTACAGTCAGAGGGAGCACTCCTACTGCCCTGCACGTATGTGCACTGTAAAATAAAGGTATGACTGTAAAATGGCTAGCACAGGTTCCTTTACACAGCTGATAACAGCAATATTAAGATGACAACTCGGGCAACAGTCCAAGCTGCTAGCCACAGTCCAAGTGTTAGTCACAAGCCACACCGTGATCTGGAGAGGCAAGCAGGCTGCTAGTGCTTGCCTGTGATGTCCAGCTTAGCTAGATTAAGTGTTGCACAGGGACTTGAGTATACACTAACCTCAGATGCATGTTCTTTTTGGAATACTTGCCCCTCCTGCCCCTTTTTTCATCTTTAAGAGTTTAAGAAGACTGAAATAGATTTCAGGTTTTCCCTACTGCTTTATGTTTTTCCTCTCTCAACACTAAAAATTAAGATTCTTGTCTACCCGAGATGATTTTCCAGTGAGAGCTACTGAAACATATCTCACAGGCCTTCATGCAAGTTTTACTGCTATAGGAACTGAAGTGTTTTATACTTTTTATTTTGTAATATCTCTGTGAAATACAGAAGTGCTACTTCCATTTTTCAGAGAGCAAACAGAGATGTAAGAATGAGATTTTTAAAGGCATATAATTCCTAAAAGGTGTAGCCAAACATTTACTGAGGTTCTGAGAAGCACCTAAACTGCTCCCAAAAATGGAATCTTTGGGCACCAAGCCCCAGCACAGAAAGTGCTCCTAGGTGGCTTGCCAAACCATAAAAAGTTCCACGGTGAAGCAGGGAACCAAATGTAGACCCACTGAGTGTTTTGCTACTAACATCTCTGATGGCATCAAAGAGTAAAAAGGAGGAAAGCAGAACAGTAAAAAGGAAAGGATTTCCTTCAGTTGGGCTATGTAGTTCCTGCTTCTACTTATAAATAAATTTTAAATTATTTCCTTCCCTCTATTTATAGGCACATTTTTACCTTTAGTGGAGAGCAACTACCTTCAAAAAAAGGCATCCTTCACCTCTGCAGTTAGATACAAGCTCACAGTGCCCATCCCCTAAGGCTTTTTCCTCTGCCACAATTGCTTTGTAAAACCAAAAATATTTAGGTTGACAATTCTATCATTACTGCCTAGTCTGATGATATTAATTTTGTTGCCAGTCCTCTCCTGTTCCCCTACTTCTGCCTGTCGGTTTCTTCTCTCTCTCTTACATCATGTTTTTACAGTATAGTTTCTTCTAGGCCAGGCCTATTCTTGAAACAATGAGTAGGAGCAAATAAGGCTCAAATGCAAATAGGCTCAGGATAACACCTGACTCTATGACCCTTTAACCCAAGTATTCTTAGTAATATTTTTCTTGCTAAAAATGAAGTAGGGAAAAAAAAAGCAGTCAAATCACATGCTATTTCAGCCTATTTCCAGTAATAAAAAAGTAGTAGAAAATAATAGTAGGGGTAGCTACCTCCAGATTAGGAAAAACATATACAGTGCATAAAGCAAAGGGAAAATCAGCAGGAGATGCAGTAATAAGGGAAGTCTTCAGCCGCACACATACAAGTGGTTAAAAATAGGCTGAAACAAGGTTTAGAAAAGTACTTTGTTAACACTTCAGACTATTACTTTTTCAATGTGTTTTCAAAACACATCAGAGAATGAGAGAGGATCCATCCTAGAAAACAACGTCTGATACAAGAGTGACTAGAGTTGAGTAACACACATTAAGCAGAATGTAATTAAGGCCAGTATCCACAACAAGGAGTTGATAAAAGATTCCCATGGGGATACCAGACTTTAGAAAGGATCAGGAAAAGGTGTATCTTCAAAAAAATGGATAAAGGAAGGAAGGAGAAGAAAGCTGAAGAAAACAGCTAAAAGAACAGAGATTAATAAGCTCAGACCACAATGAGGTTAGTTACCAGCGGAGTCTCAACAAGAAAGAAGAAAAAGGCAAGAAAAAAAAAGTGTGAGAAGATATCTTATCTACTCATAGTAGAATATTTTGAACCTTATCCAATCAGGTTCAAAACAGAAGACTTTAGCAAATGGAAATTTAGGCAAGTGACACAAAAACAACAGACCAAATATAAGGTGGACATTAAAAGTGAGCCAAGAAGGAATTTAAGGAGGAGTTAACCAAAGACTTGCATAATAGCATTTTATACAGCCTTCAGAAGCAGAAAGCCTGAGAGAAGGACAGTAGATCATTGGGGAATCAACAGAAACACTGAGTAGGATAAGGATATTTCTAAAATACTAAATAATTCTTTTTGCTGCTCAAGATGTTGGAAGATATTGATTTCCAATCTGTATTTTAGGCTATTTAAGAGAGGGAATAAGCAAAAGAGCAGGTCGTGGAACATGACTAAAAATTAGGCAACAATTGACCAAGGCTTGATGGAGCACACATCCAGCAGTCTGCAGGAATGTAAGGAAGAAACGGTTGAGTGGCTGACTAACCTGTACTACACAGAGCTGATGACTGCAAGTGTCGTACATGTTTTTCTAAAGGGGTCTGCGGTGATCCTGGAAACACTTAGTCCATCATCACTTTTAAGCCCAAAGATATACAAGGAATCATTAAATATAAAGCCGTCCTGCCGTAAGGATTAATCTGGTGGCATATAAAAGCAGCTGAAATCACTGCAGCAGCAGCATAGGAAGTGCAAACAGGAAAACCTCCCATGTGTGCATTTCTCTTCATGAGTCTCTGGTAAAACTAAGAAGGAAAGTCTTAGTCTAGTTTTGTGGTAGTTTTTGTAATGTATTTTCCGTTCATCCTTCAAAAGAAAAATTAAGCTGTTTCAAAGGATTTTTACAAAGGAAGAGAATACCATACAAGTAATAACTGAGTGAAAACCTGGCTAGTGTAAACTGGCCAAGTCTGAACTTACTTTTATTTTAACCTGCATCCATCCCTTCCACCAAAAGGAAGCAGAAAAAACAAGTACATTGACATGTACTTTTTCTTTGGCGAGAGCTCAGGCAAGGCACAAATTCGAGGAATTTCTTCAAGGTGCTATTATTAAATCTGTTACCTTTTCTCTGCTCTTCTCTGTTTGTGCAAGGCCATTACTAATGGCTAATCATGAGATATTCATCAAAAGCATGACTGTTCTTAATTAAACCTTGCCTCATGTTCCCAGAGATATTGCTGGGAGCAGAAGAGGAGGAAACCTCCTGTGGAAGAGGAAATACAACTTACAAACACTCAAAGAGGAATGCTCAGAGTCTAAAATGTGCCAGTGCAGCACAATGGTATATTCAGAGTAATGTTTCCCTGTTGGGGAACATTTTCACTCCATGTACAAAAAAATACAACAGTGGAGCCCGCAATTTCAGTTCAACACATAATTTGTCATGTGGAAGAGAGAGAAAATATGTTTTAGGGCATAGCTGTACCTTTATTTACATATTGGATTTGAAGAATCTAGAGGCATTATGCTTCTTTTCATAAGATAAAATATTTCTAAAACAACATGGGAGTATCCCTGCATTGCAGAGTAGCCTGTTCGGCTCAACAGCTGACTACGAAGCGCTAGATCGTAGACTCAACAGCTGACTACGAAGCGCTAGATGACACACTACTCTGAGCAGGTTTTTTTGACCACAGGACATGCACTTGGCACATTAACCCAGCTTAATCAAGATCCCCGCTAATATGCTCTCTGCAGCTTCCTCTAGGTAAATTTTTTAAAAAAGAATACTGTGTTGACTATGATCATCCTATTCTTTCCCCAAAAAAAGAGACTTCCTTGCAAAATTATATGGCCTGGAGCTGGACTAGCATAATAATCCAAATGAGTAATATCAAGCTCACTGTTCGATATACCACTCCCCAATAGGCTGGAGAGATTCCTACCTTTCCAGTAAAATTAAGAGCACTTTGCTTCTAGCTTTGAAAGTGCTTAAACAGCAAGATCTAGAAATCACAACACTGCTATGCAAAAATGCTATTTTAGGTCACCAACTGAAGTGACTAGCACTTTATCAGTTAAACTTTTGTTACTGGGCACAGCAGGAGACTCTTACTCACCTCCTTATTTTCCCTTGTGTCTGGCACAGTGTAGTCCTTGGCCACCAGCAGTACTCTGCTTATAAAACACTAATGAATAATTCTTCTGGAATAAGGTGCTACATGCAGATTAGTGAATTCTGCCACTAGCCTATCCTGCTTCTAAACCCAATCTGGCTTGCACAGAGCCAGCTTGGGGTTTCACATGACATTTTCTAAGATTTTTGGTTCAAAACCAACTTGGATGCTTCTGCACTGTAAGACAGACATGTCCTGGAAAAATGAAACCTTTGAGTTAAACAGAAAAAGGATTCTCAACAGTGTTGTATACTGTGACAACAGTGATGCTTGGGGGATAACAGGAAAAAAAAAACCCAAACCATCAACAGAAGGCACAGAGGAACTAACTGAAATGGGTTCATGATGACAGATGTCATATCTTTAGTACCTATTTCATTCCTAGGGGGAAGATCCTCATCTTCATGACTGGGATATCTCTCCTTCCGGTCAAGCAGGAGAAAATAAATCATTTTTTCTTGGTTCTCTCTGAAAAGAAACAGGAAAAAAAATAAATTTAAAGAGAAAAAAGCAAAAAGATGCAGATATCCCTTCTCATCAAAGAAACAGTTATAGTTATTCTAAATAAACTGGAAAGGTTAATGTATCTGCCAACTCGATACATAACCCACAGAACTTTCCAGAGGTTTGTTGTCTCCAACAAGCAGATAGTGGGAAAAGCAAATACAAATCCTACACTACACATCTTGAACAGAGGCCCAGGACAGGCTAAGTAACATGCCCACCTAACGTCTGAAGCAAAATGGCAGCTACATGCGGCCGAAGTCCTCTTTCCACCACCTGTCCCTCCTAACATCTCCAGGAAGAGACCAGCTCTTAAGCAGACTCTTGAAGTAAATAAAAAACTGCCAATAGAGATTCAACAGGGACAGCAGCAATGACCCCTCCCTCTCCACAGGCCATCTTTTCATGAAGGGACCACACCAGGCAGCGAAGGAGAGCGGGCCCCCCACGCTTCTGCTGCAGCTCCGGCCTTGACCCTTCTGACACGGCACAAGAAAGGCTCGTGACCCCCCGCTCCCTTCCCACACCACCCTGGCAACTGAGCCGCCAGACAGCGAGAAATTGCAACGGGTCCTTCATGGCAAGGGACATGTTAAAGCAGTCGCTGCCTTTCCCCAGGTTTTTCAGCATTCCAGCCCATGCACACCCGATGGATATTAAGACTGAGCAAGTGCTTACTCTTCCGACAACAAGTCTTGTAAGAGTTTATTTCGGTCACGGAAGCAGCCTAACGAGTGCATGCTATCTAACACGTCTGGATCGATATCCTCCAGGGAAGGGAGGGAGCGGATCTGCACCTTTCGAGGGATTGGTTGCTCTGGTTCTGGCTCATTCTTACCCCCTCTGCAGAGGAAAGAACATAGAGGAGAAAAAAAGGAGAAACGTGAGTCACAAATGAACCCTGCCTCTGAAACATAGCCTGCAGCAACAGATGGAAATAGCTTGTTAAATTCCCACTGAGAGATCAGATCTCGCAACCAAACAGATACTCGCTTCTGAAGAAAAGGCCATGAAGGCCGAGAGTGACCAGCACCTTGTGGATTTGCTTCTTCAACACAAAATATCTGTGTTAAGTCAGAAAGGCAGTAGGAATTTTACTTACCAGTGCACTCATAATTTAAGCAGCTGTTCAGCGTCCTAATACCAAACATTTATAAAATGCACTACATGGCTGTAGAGATGCTGTCTCACCAGCAGGCCAGACCTCAGGCTATCAGGCTAAAAATTGCAAGCTGAAAGAATTGCTTTCACAGAATAAACTGTGAACAAACCAACCCCAGGCTTCACTAATTATAAATACAACAGACTTCCCAGCAATTTTTCACTTGTAAACTTCTAAAGTGCTTTAGGAGACCTCAGTGTTCAGGTCCCAATTTGACACACTTCAAAAGATATTTCAGAAAACGAGATCCCTTATTTACATGCCTAAATATGGCAATCTCTGCTTCTCTTCAGACAGGCAAATTTGAAAATTGGGGCCCGAGAGAGCTGCCCAAGGTCAGTGGTAGACCTAGGAATATATAATTAGTGGCAGAGCACATTATTCTTTTAAAAGGAGTCCACACAAACTTCCTGCATAATTATCTCATTTCATTCACTAATCTCAGGAAATATTGATTATTCACTGCAATTATAGGTCCTAGCTATAAAAAGAACAGCTCAAGATTTCAGGGTATGTTTAACAGACTGAGTGAAATAAATAGCAAGCAACCTGAACACCCTCTGATTTTATTTAGTTAGGCAGGGAGCATCTTAGGTAAACTGTGTCCACTCAAAGAAATGTTTGCTCTCATGTGACATGAGACACTTACTAAAAAAGATAAGTTCTGGTGCCTCCACAGAGTATCACAGAAGTCTCTGGTGTTTTGTACAATGCCAGCATAGTCCTGAGTCTAAGGGCTGGATTCAGACATCCTGGTCCAACTAGAGAAACACCTTACTTGCTTGAACATCTTGTCTTTCTGCTGTAGCTACTCCTAAAGTAAGTTATTACCCAAAATGTGTCAGGACTTTGCTCTCAGCAAGTTACAAGCAATGCCTAGATCATAATCCTTCACTATTAATGCCAAAGATGACCTTGTCATTAAGATACATTTTAGTAGGATAGACCTCTGGACAGCAGCATACGGTTTTGTTTTTTAATCATCTGACATTCCATACTACTAGGTACTGACTTCATTAATCATTCATTATATTACAAGCGGAAGTCCTTAAGGTAAATTAAAGAGATTAAAAAGAAATTATTGCTTTTGAAAATTCCCAGAAGATTTGGATTTCCTACTAGTCGCTTTAGTCTACAGCTGAATAGCACCTGCAAGTCTCTTATATCAGCTCGTGAGCCATTTCCAGAGACCACAGCTTGCTATCTCCTGCGTACCAAAAAACGGTTTTCCCTTATGCCGTGTACGTGGTCAACCTCGGGCAGAGTCAGGGATTTTCACACTTCCTCATCAGATACAAGAAAAACCTCTGAAGAGAGGCCTTGTCATTTGGCAACACATTCAGTGCTTCAGGAAATGAAAATCACTGGGTCCGTGCAATGATTGGCAGGACTATCGTGTCTGCTCCATCTGCAGTCTGGTAGAGAGTAACACAGGTTGCATTTTAGCCCACACAGCCATCAAACAATGTCACCCAATGAATGCTGCAAATCACGTACGCTTTTTTAAAGGCCTGGGTGGCCGTAATTGCTGCTTTAAAACTTCGCCTCTTCTGTGAGCAGCGATGCCCACAATGGATGCGATTCCGTAACAGGGTGGACTTTTTGAATCTTTCTATAAAATTTGTTCCTGAACCTCACAGAGCTACACATTTCCATTACCTTAAAGCAAAGTGGAACCAGTACCACTATTCTTTACCTGATTTTGCTAATTTTTTTCCCCTCGCTATTAGGGCACTAACTCAGCATTAGAGGCCTCTGTATTTCCCAAAACAACAGATTCTACTTACCCTCTTGCTTTATTAAAAATGATTAAAATCTATTTAAAATAAAACTATTTAAAATAAAAAGGCTTAAAAAGATCACTGATTTAATTTGAGTGGGAAGGCAAGAGGAATGGGAGGTTGGAGATTAAAGGTTTATTTTTGGCTTAATTTTTTTCTGTTTTTTTAGGATTGTGAATCCTGATTTCAACTTTCACGACCTCTCTCGGTCTGCCTAGCCTACATCTTTTTCACAGTTTTACAGGATCCTGAATATCTTTTTAAGAACTAAACAGAATCACTTATCATGTTAGGAGCACAAGTTTCAGGTTAGTGAACTATATATGACAAAGAATAAAGATTTTATGCAGAACAGTAGTGTTACATAAGAAAAACATGAAAGCTGCAAGCAAAACAGCCATAGCCTACAAACACTGCACTTTTAACCACTCCTTTCTTTGTCAACATCAATATATCAAGGCAAAATGAATGCAGAGAGGCTGGGAAACATTACCAGGTGGAAGTAGTAGAGTTTGCAGGTGGCAGTGTTATTCACAGGCTAAATTTAGCCAAAGGAGGTTCCTCCTTAGGTCAATCCATGGGCAACAGAGAGGTATTGAGAAAGAGACTCCTTTAGAAAGCTATTTTGAGCAGAAACCTTCTTTAAGCAATCCGAACTGACTTCTGCAGAGCCTTTCTCTCATTCCATTAACTCTATGGGAATGCTAGAGAGATTTGCTTTTGCAAAACTCAGGTTAGTTCTTATGAGAATGTCCTGAGATACAATTTCCATTGGGGTTAAAAGCTGTTCACTGTGCCAAACATCAGAGAGACAGATCTTCATCGAGAAGCAAATGAAATGAAAACACAACTGCAAAGAAAAAATCTTCAAATTTTCAAGTGAGACTAAAGTCCTAAGATAACACTTGCCTAACTGTGCGTGTGAGCCTGGAAGGGTAGAAGAAGAATGCAAGTGATTGGTGCCATTTGATTTTATTTCCTATTCAATTTCTGATTAAAGCACAGGAAAACTTCAGTTGCCTACATTTTATTCATGAGGAAACAAACTGGATCCGCTGTCCAGTCCAATGGAAACAACATTTACTTTTGAATTTCAGGTTAGATGTTATAGGAGGGACATTTCAAAAATTACAATCACAATTCCTCCCTCCTAGTTTCTCTTACATTTTTCTATGAGTTTTTCTTTTTAAAAAGAGAGAGAACACTTTCAGCAAAAGCGTTACCCCCTTGTAAAACACTCAAATACTTCCTTAGTTTTTAAAAAGTGTCACGTCAACTGGTAACCATGGAGTGTGAAACAAGCCCGAGGCAACCACCATTGCAGGCATCCAAGAATAAGTCGTGTTATTCTGCTAAATTGTTGAAAGTCCTCCGGTCCCCTTTAAGTCAGATGAATCCAGCAAGTGAACAGTACCATAAGGTAGAATTAGAGAAACCAAAACATTTCTTTTTTTCCTAGTGACAAGATTAAATATCAGGTCAGATCATCCTCAAAAGCTTCCCAAGAGCCATGACAGGAGAATTAAGAAGGCAGGACTCGTCATATCACCATTTTAGGGAACGTGGAGGTACCCTGATCCCCAAAGCATGCATCAACGCATCGCTTCCCTGTTTAATACCTGGGAAGTATTCTCCTTAGTTTAATTGGGTTTTCATCCGTATAAAGCAAAGCTGTTATTTACATTAGGACTACACAAACTGAAAGGTCACTTTTGAAAGCCATCAGTCTTCCTCATACCCAAACCACTGGACAGGCACAGACTTTTCTCATAGACCTGTTTCACTGTCAAGACTGCTGCTTTTAATCAAGTCACAGAACTGCTCTCACATCAACAGCTTACAAGGTCAGAAGCAGCCTCCCGGCTTGCGGTGGAGAAGCAGGAGCAGGATTATGAGACAGAAAGTCTCTTGTTCACAGGTACTCACTTATCAATATAATCATTTTCATTTGTACTTCGCAGAAAAGCCAAGACGCCATGAAGGACCAAGCAAAAGCTTTCTTATCAAGAAGGTTTTGAAGAGATCCTCTGTAGCCCCTGCATAGCCAACTAAATATGTCTGGTACTTTTTTTTTTTCTTTTAACACAGTAAATTGCTGAGCTGAATGTCTCATTTCAAACAATTGCCACTCACATGTTTCCATATATGAATGTTCCTGGCTAGTACTGACATAGATGAAAATATTTTAGAAGCAGAGAGTGAAACAGCACTGCTAGATGCTATTCTCTCCTCTGTGCCCTCTCCACCTGCCTAAAAGCTCTCTAATTCCAATCTCTCTTCAGCGAGCACCAGAATATCAGCTTCTATAACACAAGACTGAACACATGCAAAAGTTAATTAAAAAGTGTTACTTACATATACCATATGTGTTTCTGAATATGTTCTAGCTACAAAGGAAAAGAAAACAAGGAATTAGTGCTGTAGCAAAGAAGTAGCAATATCATATGACATCCTTATTCAAGGCTTGCCTCTAGTTAGTGTTAAGTCCACCATACCGGAGCTAGATCTGTGCAAATGCCAGGAGCTTTATTCTGCACAAGGAGCATGCTCATCCTCACCCACCCACTATAAAGACCATGCCGTTCGATTTAAGGAACAAGTCAGGAGCAAATTCTAGAAAAATAGAAAAATGCAGACGTAGAAGGCTTTATGTGCAAGTGTGTTGCAGAGAAGTTTTTCCCTTACTGAGCCCTTCCCCTCTACAATCTAGTCAAAATGGACGGAGAGCTCCTTTCAGCATGTGCTTAATGACTGACTCTTTACACCAAAAGCCCATTTCTGGTTTTGTTTTGGACAGAGAGAGAAAGAAAAGAAACAAATTCAGCAGGTTCAAATGGATGATGTGAATGAACAAAATAAAGTATATGAGTAATATGATCATCCATCAGGACCCATTCCTGATCAGCATCACATTTGCCATTAGAATTTAAAGACCACGTGGAATAAAGCTCCACATCAAGGCAAAACCATTTACTGCTCCAGCAGCTCATCAGCAGCCTGCAAACTATTTTTGCTTCCTCCTTTTCTGTTTCGGGCATGAGCATTTCACCTTGCAGTGAAGGACTGATCAAAGTTTAATAGTGGCCCTGTCTGCTTATGGGATGCGGATGCCAGTAAACATTATGCAATGGCCACGCTTTCTGCAAACACAAGGGAAAAAAAATGCACTCTTTTTTTTCCTAAGAGAAATCCTAAACTGGGGAGAGAACAAATCCTATAGAAAACTTTTCCAATCCATCTTATCCAAAGTTTCATCACAGCAGAAAATTACTCTTCACAGATACCCAGGAATTTTTCATTATGGGACAATATTGCTCCTCTTCCCTGATATGAGGGAGCTCTGTGTGCACGGAGCAATGTGCACCGTCACCGCACGCGGGCAAGGGCTGGTGCAACGGGCGAGGGAGAGGCAGCACAGAGGACTCAACTGCTATCAGCTGTAAGATGAAATCAGAGCCCCATTAAACCGGTCAGCAAGAACGGAGACAGATGTCCTGCTCTTATTACTTTCCCTTCAATTCTAGAACAGGGACAACCAGGGAGCAAGGAAAAAAAAAAAAGAAAGAAAAACACAAGAGGAATGAAGGAAGCAGATCTTAGGGATAGGAAGTGGGTGTTTAACACAGTACAAGCATTCAAGGACTTCTGTGTTATATAAGAATAGCTCCTTGCCTGGGAAACCTGGAATAGCTCAGGCTCAGACTCTATATGAGATCATTTGGTAAGTGAGACAGGGTTTTTCCTGAAATCAAAGAAACAAGGGAATACAGTCTAGGGAAGTGTGACCCGCCTGGATGCCACCCTGTGCCACGTGCTCTAGGTGTCCCTGCTGGAACAGGGGAGTTGGACTAGGTGATCTCCAGAGGTCCCTTCCAACCTCAACCAGTCTGTGACAGGAGGCTAGAGGGAGAATCATGAGAGACAGTCACTCTCCTTTAAAGCCAAGACTGTATCAACACTGCAATCAGTTGCAGGTACAGTTGCTGCTTGTACCTCTAGCTGTCACCTAAGCAGCCCAAGTGCTAGGAGCAGCAGATCCTCCAGCATGTGCATGCAGGGTCCTGGGCAGGCTGGCGCAGCTCTTGCACACACAAACACAGAGGATAAGGAGACACAATTTTGACACTAGACAGGAATTTAATACAGTTAGCTATCAGGTCCACACTACTCTAAGGAACCACTAAGGAGGGTACTTCCTTTGCTGGGTGAAACTATCCTGCGACATGCCTATCTATTTTTTATTTCATATACACCAAATGTGGAGTTAGAGATATTAATGATTTCAGACAGAATGCAGATGATACAGCTGAGCAATGTCCAGCTCTCTTTCATGCTTGCTGCTTCTGCTGCATTTTCTGTCTCCATGGGTCACACTGTTCTTTTGTGCCAGCAATATGCACAACTGCCATGATGAGGCAGACGGCAGCACTTCATCTGATTCAACAAAGGAGAAGAAGGGAGGATCACCAGCTCTCGTCCGAGCCACAGGCCTTCGGGCTCCTTCAGGGATGTCAAACAGAAATCCCCTCCACCCATCCCTGCCGACCAACCTCCTTCAAACTAGAGACCTCATAGCATTTTTATGAAAGGGAAGCACCGCAGCACTTTGAGATATAGATATATGTATATATATACACATCCAGGGACACGTGTGAATAAGCACATGAGAACACAATGGCTGCTGTTTACCTACACATCTGCAGTTCCGTCCCCCTCAAAATCACTGCTGGGAAGTGCTCTGGGATACTCTAGATACAAAAACTACTCTACAAAACCTATTTCTATTCTGAATCCAAATCAATTTCTATTTTGATTCAAATATAATTGCACTGAAATGTTATTACAAGTGTGCTTGCTGCTGCCAACATCTTCACTGCCTTTTTTTAGATGTAATTAATTAATGCTTTGTTGCTTTTCTTCTGCATTAAAGTGACAGGAGGGTTATGGAAGGGCGATTGGTTTTGACAAGGAGAAGTCTTTATGCTTTTTACTATGCAGGGGAGGGAGATCCACAGTGGGAGCTAATCTCACTCCTCCTGCATTCATTTAAACACAATGTTTAAATGCATTTAAGTGACGAAGGCATTTAACAGCCCTTCCCAGAGGGTTCTTGCTGTTTGCACATGAGTTTGCCAAATTTAATGCCATTTTACGGGAGTTGTAAAAATGCTGCTTGCTAATATCTCTAGCCACCGCAGGCAATTGTCTCATGATGCCATCTCTAAAACAACAAAACATGCTCCAATTCATTGCTCAGGCAGAGCCACAAAAGAAGCCTCTGCAAGCTAAAATGCTGTAATGTGAGGAGAGGGGGAATTCCTTTACCACAGTTTTATATAAAAATACTTTCAATACATATTACATTTGTATCGTGACATGACATTTAGGAACCCCACTCATAGATGACACCCCGTTGTGCTGAAGAGCTGCACCAGTTCATCAGAAAAAGAGGTCTCCTCCCCCAAGGAGCTTGCATCTGAATTCTAGGAGAGGGAACAACAGATGGAGATAGACAGGCAGATGGAAAACAAGACAGTGCTGTCTACATCCTGAGCACTGATCTCAGCACAGCAGTTGCCAAGCTAAAAAGTTCTGTCCTGAAGAAAAACTTTCTCAAAATCTGTGGATGGGAATCTGGGCTTGTGCTCATGTCAGATTGCAGACCTCCCTCTCCAGAGAGCGAACAGTCTCAAACTCGCCTTTGCAAAAGGTGGTCCTGCACCGTAGATAAATTTTCTTCCATCACCAGATCCTCTTGCCCAAGTTTTAAACCTACTGCGTAGTGTCAAGATACAGGCTTTTTATGGCCAAAGAATTCAAGCTGACAATGCAATGGCGCTGGTGGAATCACTATCGCTGTCAGTGTTAGCAGCTGTACTACAGCAGTCTCTAAAGACCTTGACAAGGGCAAGGTGTCAACGTGTTAGGTGCAAATCATAAGGAAAGGTCATCAGCAAACTGGAGTTTTCTGCCTACATACATCTACTAGACATTTACTTCCACTGCACATTGGCTTCCACTGTACAGGTGGTGAAGTGAGATAATTTAAATGATGTGCTAGGCATCTTAGTATCAGATCACCTACAAAAACGAAAAAGGACATAGGATGAGTTTATCCCTTGCTATTTTTTTAAGCATCCTTTAGATGCTGCAGTCCAAACAATAAAAGACATATCATCATTAGCATACATTAGACCACAGACAAAATAAATCTGCAGAGAAGAGATGCTGAAAATCTGGGGTAGTTTATGTTGGATGGTTTTCAGGGATAGGTATTTCAAACTAGCCTCTGCGTGGTTACCTGACGAAGAAGACAACTCAGTTTATTCTGGAATAAAACGTCAACACTGTAAGCAGTAACAGCTTCATAATAATAGCTTATTCTGTAGTACCTGTCCGGATCAAACTTGTTCTAGCCATCATTAAAAGGAAAGTGGACCAAAAGCTCCACAGTCCTTCCTTTTTGTCTTTGCACTCCTGCAGAAGGAAACAGCAACTGAGAATTAAATGGATTCCCCTACAGTGACCGTAATTCTCCCTCTGCAAAGATGCTGAATCAC